ACAATTACCTGTAATATTATACCTGTGTTAGTAATTACTGAGCTATTATTTCACAAATTCTAGTGGCGGATTTGAATGGATTATTTTATATAGATAATACCTATAGAGCTAGATATATATTTACCTATGCAGGTCTTATCGATTATGGCAGTTGACTGTGAACATATAAATTGACTGATTTTCTTTCAAATATTCATTTGAAAGATTTCACGATATATATATTTTTAAAAAAATTATTATGGAAAGAATTAAGAGACTTTACAATGCTTTACTTGTTGGGTTTATGGTGGATAATATATTTTATTTTGCTCTGTAATGAAATATTGTATGTGCTAGATAGAAATAAATATGTCATAAATACAACACGTATGTATAGTATATATTTATCTATCCAAAAAAGATAAGTACCAAATACTTCCTTAGTTAAGATTAATAGACTATAAACAAGAAAAAAATTGTTGGTTAAAAAATAAAACACCCTTTAATTTATTTGTGGTGCAAAGACACCATTGGCGTCTTCACACGGGTCGACATAATTTAAAATATATTAGACTACAAAAGAAAAAAACTGTGATTGTTAAAACAAGTATGATCGTACTTTGGATCAAGAAGAAGCATGCCAATGTTCATGTCGATCGGGCTTGAATTGACAGCGCCTTGGGCCTTTTTGAAGAGCGTCACCCCAAGAACAAGAACAAGAACACGATGGGTATAGCGACCAGTTCCTGGTAAAAAAAAACACTCTTTAATTTGTGTCAACATAATTGCAGTCTATTTCACTGAATTTTCTTAAATTACATAATGAAGGAAGAATAAAGGCAATAAAATATAATTTATAATACATGTAAATAAATATTGTATATCTGGTGGATTGAAATATATCTACCATACGTCCACTATATTTGTCTATGTAAAAAAGATAAGTATAAAGCACATCCTTGGTTAAAATTAATATACTATAAACAAGAAAACAAAACAGTTAAAAAGACACCAGCCTTTACTTATAGTTGAGGGGGGGTGCGTATGGTTAGCGCGTGCGCGTTGTACAATAAGGTCTGTCATTGAGTTTTCTCCGTGTCCTCCGCTTTCCTCCCACCGCTAAAGACCCCTACGCGCAATGACCTAGTTTGTGTCGAGTGGACGTTAACACCCCCTCTCTCTCTCTCTCTCTCTCTGTCTTGTCTATTAATATACAAGAAAACAGAACAGTTAAAAAGACACCAGTCTTTACATAAAGTTGATTGCGTCGCAAGGGTTTTATGTTACGGGGGAGGTGTGTGTGGGTGTGGGTGTGTGTGGGTGGGTGTGTGGAGGTGTGTGTGTGTGTGTGTGTGTGTGTGTGTGGCGGGGGGGGGGGGTGTCAGTGTATTTGACAAAATTTTGTGAAATTCCATAATAACGGAAGAAAATGCAACGAAATGTAATATTTTAATAACTGTGCCTCTTAAGTGTTATAAAAAATATACTTTTTATGTTGTCACTTACGTTTCAATAGAAATATAGACCCGATGGGAGGGGGTAACCATTTAAAGGTAAGGGCCAGGGTATTATCATTCATAGGCCAACGCCAAAAGAAAAATCTGCGTCCTTTATACGTGCTCCTGCGGGCGATTGCCGCTCCACCCTACCTGTTACGCCACTGCTTCTAGTGGTAATAAATACTAAACCTTCTTATTAATTATTTCTTAATGTGGTTTAGGTGTGATTTTTTCGAAAGTGTCTATAGCAGTTTCCTAATGCATACAGACTAATTTACACAAACTCTGGTCTGCTGAAAAATAGCCTAGAGTATGGAAGGTACATGAAATGAAATAAAGTGTGGAGTGACGTCCCGCGGTTCTGCACCAAAAGGGATAATGTATGAGAAAGATTTTGCCAGGGGAGCCGCATTGCTGCCAATTGTTCCTCCAACAGACAAGAGTTATTTTATGCGAGACCCCGGTTTTTTGTCCCATACGACAAGAGGCTTTTCAACGCAAGGCCACCCGTCCAACACTTATAGTGACCAGACTGGAAACACCGGACTTAATATTAATCAGATTAAGATGTACATGTATAGCCAGAAAAAAAAATATTAATTTAACATGAATAGCCAGAACAAGTTTACTAATTTAAAATGAACATTAATCCGATTAAGATGGCAGCCAGAGCAAGTAGCCTATACTAATTTAAAATGGCCATTTATAAGATTTAGATGTATAGCCAGAACATTCATACTATTTTAAATGAACATTAATAAGATTTACATGTATTAGATGTATCACTATAATCCGGGTATCATTTAATCGTGTGTATTTAGCACTAATTTCTTTATTAACATTCATCCACTATCAAATCTTTGTTTAAAAATTCGTAAAAACCGTTTAAAGTCAGTTTAAAGCTGACCATTAAATTTTGATAATGATTGTCCAATTTACAAGCGTTTAATTTCTTGATCACTGTTAAAAAATAAACAACCCAATTGATTAATTTTTGAACGGTGGTCAGGGAATTAAATACTGTAAATTGGACACTCATTATCAAAATTAATCAGTCAGCTTTAAACCGAACACAAGTACAAATTAGATGATATTGGGTGATTTTAAATGATTTTTACGAATTTTTAAACAAAGATTTCATATCAAACGAATGTGAAAGAAATTAGTACTGAATACAATGTGTAGACTATTTAATTCATACAAAAAATAGTGTTCATTTTTATGATACAAATATTGCTTAGTTCGTGACTCTTGGTTTGGGTGTTAGAAACGTAGCCATTTTATCAATCTATTAAATTAATATATCAGTTAAAGGCTCTCGGGTTTGATAGTGGATATTTTTTATCTGTCGGTTTGTTCTTTATTTCGTAATTGTTGTTAGGTAGAATTAAATATATCATATTATCATTATTGCAGCGGAGTCTTGTCGTACAAGACGAAAGAAAGCAGTAGTGGGACCATTTCTACCCTGCTCCTGAGATAAAAATATCAAACTTTTTCTAAAAAAATATAAGAATGTAGGCTAAATACAGGGTTGGCGAAAAAAAAATGTTACCCATTCAGAGAAGGGATGCATGGATTGGGCATATCATTAACTATTGACCCCCCCCCCCATTTATTTTTCCGGGGGAGGGGGGGGGGTCTGAATATACTTGGACCCCCAAAACAATTTACAATTATTAGGATTAGTTAAGATTATATCTGTATAAAACCTGTACATATCCCAATATGGTTTATACTGCCAAAATAAAACACAGAGATAATCATCCTGGAAACGTGTGTGAAGTGAAAAGTACCTGTGTTCCATAAAATTTTGTCTAGTTAGCCTGTCAGTAATATTTTGTTAATTTTTTTCTGCCACTTATCAGAGTTAATCGCATGTAGGTACCCAAAAACATAACCGCCTAAACCAAATATTTATCGCCCGCTCAGCCAGCAACGTAACCATAATGCTTTTGCACGCGGTGTCTTGGTAGACAGCATGGCCACATGGTGTTTGTTTATATTTTTTAGGGGTTTTAAAAAATGGGTTAGGGTTAGGGGTTAGGGTTGCGAACGCCCCCCCCCCCAATATATATTTCACGGCTACGCCTCTGGCTATTGGTATCAAATAAAAACTTATGCTTGTGAAATTTTTCTGAAAAAAAGTTTTCACATTTATAAAAGTACCGTAGTGTAAAATCAGAATGGGTAACAGTTTTTTTTGTCCCACGCGGTATATTTAAACTTGAATTAAATCTAAAAATATATATAGTTTTCATATTTAACTATTTTTTTAATATCTATTTATTCATATAATTATTTATTTTGTATAAGTACCGTGCGCAAAACGTGCCGATCTGTTTCACAGAGGTATTGCCAAAGCCTTCTTATAACTGTATGAGATGACTGACCTTTATAAGTTCAAGTATGCCTTCTACATGATACGTCACGTCATACGGCGTCGAGCACCGACTCGATGGCGCGTGCATTTTTTACAGACGTAAGCGTAAACTAGTCCGGGCAGAATGGAGCCTTTTACTCATTTTATATACCCATTTATACTAAATAGGAAATAGTTTTATCTAGATATAATTCAAACACCTGTTTTATTTTTCTAATACTTCAAAAAAATATTATAGAATTTAATTTGCAGAAGGAAATAACAATAAGTATTAACCCGCACCATTGTCATTCCTATCAGTGATTGTACTGTAGCGGGGTAGACTAATCACCTGAAACATCGGAATTCACTTATAAAAACCAGAATTCACTTACAAACACCAGAATTCACCAGAATAAGTATTTCTAGCATTCTAGCATAATTACTGAAAACTAATACCGATTCGGACTGTTGTAAACACCGAAATATGTTTGGAAACCGTCAGCATAAAGGGCTCGGGGGGTTAATAAGTAAATAAATATAATTGTGTTGGAAGAATGTATTCCAACATAGACCTTAGGTCCATATGGTTCCAGAAAAAAAGGAAATATTTCTTAACCCAAAATGGATATTTTTGAAAACGCACAGAATATAAATATGAACAAATATTAGATTCTATTCATGATAAATAAGTAAATAAATATAAGTGTGTTGGAAGAATTTATTCCAACATGGACCTTAGGTCCATATGGTTCCAGATGAAAAAAGAAAATTTTTCTTAACACAAAATGGATTTTTTTGAAAACACAAAGAATACAAAAATAAAACACACTTATATGGATATACTACTTCTGAATTTATTAACATGCTACGTTTCGATACACATACAGATATCGATATAAGTGTGTTTTATTTTTAGTGAAATCTATTTCTATATGTCTTATAAGGACAAAGAATACAAATTATATGAACAAATATTAGATTTTATTCATGAGAATTAACAAATAAATAAAAATAATTGTACTGCATTGGTGCAAACATTGCAGCATAGAAATATAATTGTGCAGGAGATTTTGCAGATCTGAAATTTTGTAACCTGTAGACCAAGACTATTAGTTCTGAAAGAGTTGTCTTTCCGGAAAAAGAATTTTGTAGTCTATTTCAACATGACTTTTTTTTAAATCAATGTGTTTAGACTAAACTTGGATCCAATTACCCTTTAACCCTCTTAAAGGGTTAGGGTTAGTATTCCCACAAATACTCATTGATATAAAGCGGCCAGTGTGGACTCCGGAAATTCCCGAACCTCCCCAACCGGCCTACAAAATATTGGCATCTCCCAATGTGTTTGGATGTTCGAGACTGTGAATAAAGTGAAACTGAAAGTACGATATTGTGGAAGTTTGTTTTGAATTCGTAGAACTGAAAATGGCAACGAACACCAAGGATAATATATTAGACTACCTGAAAACCTGCCAAAACAATTCTTCAGAATTACACAGAATTATAAAACACATTAATTTACCTAAGAAGACTGTAAATCACCAAATCTACGAACTTCAAAAACAAGGTTTGGTGGAGAAACTGCAGGTATCGCCACCGATTTGGCAGCTGACTTCGCGTGGAGAAATCACAAAAAATGCCAATGTGAGTCTTCTGAAAATAAAACATTTAAAATCTATATCATTAAAAAATAGAATGCCAAGAAGAGGGGAAAGAGTGGTGAGTAAATTGTGAGGAGAGATAACTCAAACTGCAATTAAAGGAGCTAAATCGCTAATATTTGCCATTTGGGACCTAGAAATTGACCCCAAAATGGGTCGCAACGCACATAATAAAGTAATATGAATGTACGACGTATATAAACTGATTTACATTCAATCGTTTCCTTTTTTCTCTAATTTCAAATCAGTCATGTTCAGCGAAATACGCCAGCTAGAAGTCTCAATCGAATGGCAATCTCTAGTGTCTGGTTATTTTATTGCGCATGCTCTCGAGATAAAAATAAGAGTCACTGTTTGACATGACTTATGGAATATGTCTAGCCTCGTTCTTGGAGTCACTTGTTACAAATGACGATAAAAAGCATTATGCTACACGATTCATGTACCAATGGTAAAATGTTTATTTTGTCTTAAATATTGCATATCAGAAGCCCATCTTTTCCCGGTAAGATCACAACATCAGTGTTGATTGAAATTGACAAATAATTTATTTATTCATTTTCGAAGACTTTGGATGATATTGTGTTAGAGACTTAGCTACTTTAAATTAAATTGTTTGTCTCTAAATTGTCATCCAGGTTGATGTCACATCAATTCTACCATATCCATAAGAATCAGTGATCCAAACCCAATTTGATCTACTTTATACTTTTGATTTACTCTGAATATGAAAAGAAAAAATTACCAAAAAGCTTTGTGTTAGGCTGACCTTAAAAATATCTTTGTTTCACCAAACCCGACCCACAATCGAGGAGAAGGGTCGGTAGGTCGGGGTTTTTTCAGATTTCTTTTTAAAAGCTAATTTGACAGCTTGATAATTTTCCAGGTGCAAACATTCGTCTTCTTTTATTGTCAAACAAATCAATGACATCGGGATTTTTCGTGATGCACGACTCGCACACGAATTGCCAGAAACTGACGTTTGAAACTCCCTCAACACTTTTTTTAACGATCGTGCGGGTTGTGCCTTCATTTTTCTCGAAAACGGATATTCAATATCCGTTTTCGAGAAAAATAGAGGCACAATCATTTCGTGGGAATGGACGTGCTTTCGTCTACAACCATTTTGTTGAGAAGCGAAACCTATGATGCTTTCGTCTTGATCAACCAGTTTCAATAATGAATCAAACCATAGCCATAGTAAAGGGAAATAACTCTCGTGATATATTTCAGGTTGACACACAAAATAAAATAAAAAGATCGCGGAAAAGTGCAATAAAATAATTTAAGTCGGGGGTGGTTTTAGTTAGTCGGTCGCGTTAGGCGAAACAAAGATATTTTTACGGTCAGCCTTATCTCTAATTGCTTAAATATTCCAATAAATAAAAGGGTCCCCCTTTAGTAACCTCCAGTCCGTTATTTCTTAATAGATTTATTTGTCATGAGTGAATGCAAAGAACTCTCTTTACACCAAGCACTGATTTATTCTATCTTTCAAGTACCCATGTAGGCCTGCTGTCAGTGTGACTTGTTACCAGTGACTGAAGATGCTTGTTGAGAATAATTGTTTATTCACGCAATACAATGTACATATTCCAGCTTAATCTGATAAAGTGGCAAGGATTAGGGTCGCCTGTTCAGCCTCATGGGTTTTATCATGGACCTCTAGTTTCTTTCCACTGCTAAAGACCCCTACGCATAAGCAAATCGTTGAAATAAAATTTAACCATAAGTTAGTCCCAAAAATGACCTAACTTTTGTCAAGTGAAGGTTAAACCCCATTTCTCTCTCTCTCGATTTAAGTGTGGTCTCTGATGATCGGTATATTATGTGCTTTTATTTTGTATATGTAAAACAGGTTTATATTCTATTGTATTTTCAGTCCTAATATATATAGTATAAAGTACAGAAGTTGATTGGAAAAGAACGACTGCTCAATTTATTCCTGTTTAAGAATGAATATCAGTTCTCAGTATTTTACCGAACAGAAAATGAAATGGGGTTTAACGTCCTACTGTCCTACCAAACAGAAACAGTCAGACCTACAGATGTACACATTTGATATTAACATGTCATATGGAAAGCTATCGTTCGTTCATTGTGCATGGTTAACTTTAATTTCTTTTTCTCTTTTAGGTAGTGCAAAGAGGTAGAGGTGGAGCAAGGGGTGTTAGAAGAGGGTCCAAAAGAGGTCAAGGACGTGGAAGAGGTCAAGGAAGGGGTCAAGGACATGGCTTTGGAAGGGGTCACGGTCCAGATGTAGGTTATGGTGAACCATGGGGAGTAGTTCAAAGAAACCAAGGGAATCTGGAAACAGGAAACAGATGGGTAATCGGTAGAGGTAACAATTCCAGACATGCAGGTTCAGAACATTCAGTACATGTACAAAATCCAGTACCAATAGAACCATCACAGGCTGGTGGTAGGGACACATCTGAACAAATTATGAAAGTGATTTCTGATTCTACAAAACCACTTACTGCATCTAATATTTGTGATTCAATAGGCACTTACATTACTATTGATATGGTTAATAAAACTCTTAGAGAATTAATAGAAAAAAACCTAATTACAAAAATTCCTTCTCATTCACGCGAAAATGACTCCTACACCCTTAAATTGTCCATACAAAGACAACAAACAGACATTGAAGAGGAAATGCAAACAGACAATGCACAGGCGCCATTCCAAGAATCAGTAAAACAAATCAGTATAAAGGAAGAGCCACCATTACTGGATTGTCCACCTTTGAATGAGAAACCACTGTCATTGGATAGTCCCCCTTTGAAAGATGAACCTGTATCAATGCAAACAGACAATACACAGGCACCATTCCAAGAATCCGTAAAACAAATCAGCATAAAGGAAGAGCCACCTTGTCCACCTTTGAATGTAAAACCTGTGTCATTGGATTATCTCCCTTTGAAAGATGAACCAGTATCAATGGACTGCCCTTCATCTTCAGTTGGCTTCTTACCTGATATTCAGAATAATCCTATGAAAACAAATGGTAAGAAACTTATTAGTTTTCAGAATTACACATAAACACGTTATTCCAAGCTGATTGTAGCATTGAAAATGTTAAATTTGGATGGCCGAATGGTTAGCACGTGCGTGCTGTATCATGAGGCCTGTCACTGAGTCAACTGGCGTGGTTTCGAAACCCCTGTTGTACGTGACAAGGAGTAGGGTCGCCTGGCCAACCTTGTGGGTTTTCTCCGGGTCCTCCGGTTTCCTCCCACTGCTAAAGACCCCTACGCGCAAGTGAGTTATTGAAATAAAAAATTAAAACCATACGTTAGTCCCGAAATGACCTAGTTTGTGTCTAGTGGACGTTAAACCCCATTTCTCTCTCTCCAGGCCTACATTACATTACTCCCTGGTCCATATATCCCTGGGGGGTTGGGTGACTACTGACTGAATGGTCAGCTGTGTCATAAAGTCTGTCATTGAGTCAACAGGCGTGGTTTTAATTCCCCGGTTGTACGTGACAAGGAGTAGGGTCGCCTGTCCAACTTCCTGGGTTTTCTCTGGGTCCTCCGGTTTCCTCCCACTGCAAGCGAATAATGGAAATAAAATTGAACCATATGTTAGTCCCAAAATGACCTAGATTGTGTTGAGTGGACATTAAACAAATGACAGTCACAAATATTAGCATAGATTATGAATTCATTTATCAGACCAGGGATTAATTTCTTGTGCACGAATCTATTTTTCCAACTTGTTGAATTTATGTTTTTCAGAACCTCGTGTGAAAGTTGAACCAGAAATTACAGAACATAATGATAATTTCGATTTAGAAGAAGATGGAACCTCATTTAACAGTATCTCAGCCACAACTTTATCTTATGTAGATCCTGAAACCGAATTCATGAATAAAGTTTTAGTTACGCTTGCTAATCGATGTTTTGAAACAGCAGCCAGTTTTGTTCTTGCTAAAGATCTCAATGCAGACCAAAAAGATGTAGAAAATAGCCTTAAGGAATTGGCTTTTGAGAAACTAGTTGCCAAAACAGGGACTGCTTGGACAGTGACAAAAAAAGGTGATACATTCCTTGCTGAAAATGGATTGAAAGTGAAAAATGATGCGTCACCAACACAAAATTTGGGGAGAGGTCAGAGGTTAAAACAAGCTATTTCTGGTCCTCCTCAATCACCTCTAGCTCTTGTTCGATCAAGTTCGGTTTTTGGAAGTGATTGTGAGAAACCCCCTCCTTTGTCAGAAGTAAAGTCGTTTCAAATTCCAAAGCCTCCATCCATTCAGTTACCCCCTAGTGTCACACAGAATTCATCCACGCCTTTTCAAAATCGGATCAATACAAATTCCACATCTGTCAATCAAGATCAATCACAGACGTCATCGTTATTGAGTGGCGTTCAGACTAATATGAATATAAACCGTGGTATGGGACGTGGCTGTCAAATCGAACAAATGCAGAATTTACTAGCGCAGATGTCACCAAATGATTCTGGAAACAGAGTTGTAAAAATTCCACCGACTCCTATGCAAGTCATAAATCAGGAACAGACACAATTTCAACCCCAAAATCAACCCAAAAATGTCGAACAGGGAATATTACCTGCTACGTTATTAAACTCCACGCAAACATCATCAAAAACTTTAAATTCTGTAAATTTGCCGCCCTCATTGTTGCCATATTCCCTCAATAAAGCACTGTCACATCCATCAAATATCTCACCATCTTCACAGTCATCCATATTAATGCCATCATCTTCATCAGCCAGTGATTCATCCAACAATTTACAAATCAGCGCAGAAAGTTTTTCAGCAGTGAATAAAAATCCTATAAGTGCTTTAATGGAGTATGCTCAGTCCCGTCACTTAACAGCAAAGATAGAAATACTTGGCCAAAGAGGTCCATCACATAAACCCACGTAAGTATTGTCAAGAACTATGGGTAAGAAAAAAAAAGATCTTTTTTAATATTATCAATCTGATTAAAACACAGGTCCTATTTCGTTTTGTTTTTATAGTTTAAAATTTCGTTTTACTTGTCTTTACTACACTAGGATCTCGAAGAGTTGTTATCAGTGACATGTTCTGGATGATGAAAGGGATTAGCCAATGAAATGGCCTGTTTCGGCGAATTCTTGGCCTTGTTATGCACGGAACTGTGGGTAAACCACTAGAATTGTCAACACTGATTGATTAATCAATGTCTGGCATCATAGGGTCAAAAGCCGCTCGTTTGACCCTGTAATATTATGGAATTGAAATGGGGTTTAACATCCTAATGTTCTGGATCAACTGGGCTAATGCAGATGGGAATATGCCATGCAGTGTACTATGAGTGAAATTTTGCCCGCGCAGCGTCACTACGTCTTGCTCTTATAAACCCACATAAGTATTGTGTCAACAACAATGGGGTAAAAAAAAAATAGATCTTATGTGAATATTATTAAAGCTAACCATATATTTACGAATTTATTGTCATATATAAGGGCAAAAAAAAAGGGGGTTCTGTTTCCTGTAACGGATGGAAAATAGGGTAGGGTCGGTAGGTAGGTTTTTTTTTTTTTTTTTTTTTTTTTTTAAACAAACAAACATTGTTAGATCTAGTAGATGTGCCGTAGCATAATATTCTGTGCGAAAATCTTCAATTTTATGTTAGGTTGAGTCGGCGCCGAGGAACATGAAGCATGAATAGATTGGTGGATGGAATTCTTGGATAATTGCTTAAAATGTATCAGAGGCTAGGTTATGATTTAAATATTCTCTTAGGGGGCAAATGGACTTTTTAATCGTTCTATGCTAAAAAAAAAATAGCGTAGGGAGGCCATTTTTTTCAAGGGAAAGAACTCGCGATGAAAACTTAAAAAATTGTATCGTGCCATCGCACGAAATAGGTCCGTTATAAATTTATTTGTCTTGTTTTAAATACCAATCGAGCAGATCCTATCCACCTGTTTGAAATATTGTTTTGTCAAATTGCGTGCCGTTACTTTATAGCAACAAATAATAAAGCCATTTTCACGAATCCGGTAGGCTTAGAGTATTTTGAACGGTCGCTCGTTGAACAAAAAAAGTTTTTTATTTCCCTTGTTGACACTAAAAAAAAAATTGAGTCGGCAGGTTTTGTAATGGGTCAGTCGGGTTAACGGAAACATAACATTTTTTTTTTTGGCCTAATACCATGTTACTGAAAATTGAAACCACTTGAAGAGTCCAGAGGAAGAACGATCTAAGACACATTTTTGTCTTTTCGCATAAAACGCAAAACAGATTTTTGGACGTGAATGCTTGACATGAACAGAACAAGTGGGTTTAATTAAACTTCAAAATGATGTTTAACACGAATCATAATTACCAGTACAACTGACTTCAACTTTTAAAGGGTAAGATGGACTTGTATTTGTCCGGGAGGCCATTTCAGAAGGGCCTTGGTTTGATGTGACTCCGATCGTTTTAACCTGAAATTGATTGTTCCACAGAAAACTTATACAATTTGCTACCAGATGGCACCATTAACTAGGGTTCGTTGAAAAAGTGACTTAGATCATTCTTCCCCTAGGCTCTTCACTTATATTCGACCTCTTAGTTTTGCTGACAATTGAATTCACTGTGACCAAATTTTATATAAGGGAGGTAACTCAAATTTCACAGTTGACATTCCTCATATACACCAGTGCAGGATGAGTCGTCTTGTTTTTATTTAATCAACAATATCTATGTCACTACTGAGTGGGTTTTAGAGGTCAAATTTTTACAGTTTGTCTTTTAAGAAGCAAGAATATGATTAAAAATAATAATTTATACCAAGTGAAAACTTTCAGCCATTTTACTTATTCTACTGTTTGTTACAGGTTTACTATAGCAGCCATTATAGGTTCTAGAATGTTTCCTAAAGTTAAATCTCATAACAAAAAAGAGGGTCGTACAGAAGCCGCTGATGTAGCGTTAAGAACTCTTCTGTCAGAGGGGGAATACAAAGTGAGCCAGGAACCCTCGCCAGTAAGTAGATATACCTCGTCATTTAACTAAACAAAAGGTTACTGGTAATCGGAATCTTTGGATTCTATATATGACACAGATGAGTCCTTTTCCATATTGAATGATTTTCAACGCAACACAATTGAACTTGCCCAATGTTTTGTCATGGAATGAAGTGGGGTTTAACGGTTCAATTTTATGTAGTAATAGGGAACGAGCACATGCTCAGACAGCGACACTACAACCTACTACACAGGATCTCTGTTTTTTTCCGTCCATCTAGACAGCTGTCCTTGCCAGACCCTCCTTCCTGCACCACTGACAAGGGGAAACCACACGGGGAAAATCCTGAGGTACTTTCTCCACTAGCACCAGTTTTGAATCCAGGACCTCCTGTTTAGTGATGAGCCAGTGCTGAATTACATTGAGCTACCATGTCTCCCTTTTCTGTCATGACAAGATGATCAGATGTGGAGTAGAGTATTAAACTTTACATAAGTTGGATCTAAGTGGACTGACCAATTTTATCTGACTTAAGCAAAGATCTGAGTTAGCCGAAGAGTGAAATTCAATCTTAGCTTGATTAGAAATAAACTGCAAGAGTCGGATAACAATTGATTCCAAGGCACATTTCAAGCTTTTGTTCGTATGTGCGAAGAGATAACTTCTGTTTTTTCGCCATCCTTGAAAAATATCCTAAATTTTCCCGGAAAGTGTCTTGTACAGCAGACAGCAAGCTTTGAATTTTCTGGGAAAATTCTATTATTGCAGGCTGATTTGAGTCAAAATGATAAGGGAAAGTATTCTGGAACTCTGTGTATTGAATACCTAACCGCGTTTTACGCTTGGACCATCGGGACGAAACTGACTTAGTCTCTCATTCATTATTTTTTATTCTTTTTGGGTGAAGCCCCGGGACTGTAGAGTGCAGTGGATGCTTACGGCTGGCCCCCAGATCCATTGACTTGATTTGATGTGTTCTGGTTTATTTTCCTGCAATATCTATGTAGTTTGTCCTGTGTGTAGGTTCGTCTTATTGGTTCTGTTTTGTGTTTAGTGCTGTCTTCCTGCATTTACTATATACAATATGAATGTAACTTTCTATTGGTATAATTTCAGGCTCCTGTTATGGCTAATTTTGACATGACCCATTTTGATAATATGGCTGCTCTAAGTCATCAATCCTTCAACAAATTAATTGCTTCAATACCAGAGAAGTTTGCCGGACGTAAGATTATAGCAGCTTTAATAATGAAGACGGGGAAAGATGATGTAGGAACTGTAATCAGTGTTGGATCAGGTTTGTTTATGTTGGTAATTTTAACGTAACAATTCTAAAGAGGCATTAGTCCATTGGGAAATGAAATGAAATGAAATGGGGTTTAATGTCCTACTGTTCTGCTCCTATACTTGGCTAATGAAGACGGGCATACGCCATACAGTGTGCTATGCAGGAAATTTTGCCCAGACAGCAGCACTATGGCCTACTCTTATATCGAATTCCAACTGCCAGGGGATCTTTTATGTGCATGTGATGTCAGGCCCTCCGTCCTGCATCACTGACAAGGGGGAACCATGCCAGAAAATCTGGATGAACTTTCTCGGCCAATGCAGGGATCGAACACCCAACCTCCAGGCTAGCGAGCCAGCGTCTTACCCACTTAGCCACGTGATCCCCCTAGTCCATTGGGAGATCATAACGTATTTTGAATGGAGAAATATATAAATTCTAATGGATGGATTAAAAACTACAGGCGTGGTTTCGATTCCCTTATTGTACGTGACAAGGAGTAGGGTCACCTGTCCAACCTCGTGGGTTTTCTCCGGTTCCTCCAGTTTCCTCCCACTGCTAAAGACCCCTCTACGCAAGTGAATTATTGGAATAAAATTAAATAATACCTTTGTCCCAAAATGACCTAGTTTGTGTCACCTGACGTTAAACCTCATTACTTTCTCTCTCTCTCTCTCTCTCTCTCTCTCTCTCTCTCAAGCAGTTTAATAAATACTCAAAAGAATAGAAATACCTTATTAGAAATGAACTATATTTTTGGTGACAGCAATATTGCTACTTTAAACAGGAATTATGCAAGAGCTAAATCTGCCAATTGTAGGTCTTTCTTTAGACCTGAAATGGGAAATTTAATACAGCTTACAGTTTTCACCCTAGTTTTGTATTGGAAAGTTCTCCTTATGTATCTAAAGTTTACAGCCATTCTTTTATGTAGTTATCTCCCTTGGTTTTAACATGCTAGCAAAAAATTTGAATAATAATTAGTATTGTTGTTTTGTATGTAGGTAATCGTTGTATAACTGGTGAACAATTAAGTTTAGAAGGTAATACAGTCAATGACTCACATGCTGAAATCATCACAAGAAGAGGATTTTTACGGTAAGTATGACAACATAGCTTAAAATGAATATGACACAGAAGTTTTAATTCAGACCTGTCACTAGAATATGTTTCCATAAAACTAATCCTGACCAACCCTTGAAAATATGTTACAAGGGTTTGAGAATAACCTATGCAATACGTATATGTATGCTAAAATAATCTAGTGAATGTTATACATAAAGCTGTCTGTTATTAAGTATAGCTTTCACTAAATACTCTTTAAAGATAGTATTAAATATTATGCAATAGCTAAATCTGGCTAATGCAGAACTTTCATTTGGCCTCAAATGTTATATAAATTATTAATTAAATATTTCTTCACATGCCAGGCCCATATTCTACTCTCTAGATCAATGGATGCTTGTGATTTTCAACGAATTTAAACTTGATTGCCAGTCAATAATTTAATTTGAAAATGGATAATCTAGACTTTGTATATTATTGTAACAACGTTAGCAATGACAGTCGAGACTACACTGTTCTTCAAATGGAAATAACTCTGCTCAGAATGATGTAATTTGACTGGAATTTTCAACATATTCCCTTTTCATTATTTATTTTCTAACTATTATAGCGAAAACTGTCTGCTCTTATCTAAGTCTTACATAATTACCTACAAAGGAATAAATATGCGACAACCCTTGTCGACCGCTCGGACGATTTAGCTACTGTGGGCGTATGTTTCGTTGCCTACCAACCTATCTTTAACATTTTTTTTGTTTTTACAGATATTTATATAAACAATTAGAAACATATAAAAAAGGTAGTGAACATGAATTTTTTGAAAGCAGTAATAATGGAAAGTTAAAAGTTAAATCAAATATAACATTCCATCTCTATATATCTACAGCACCATGTGGTGATGGTGCTCTCTTTTCACCAAGGTAAGTTTATTTGGTTTATAAAGAGTTGTGTCCCTTCATTTGAACATAAAGGCCATACAAAAAAAAATTCTGGCACTCGGACAATCCTTCCAAAAAATCTGATGCAGGATGGAGGTTTTTGTTTTTGTATTTTTAATTTGTCAAAGGATGAAGTCACTACTGGGCTAAATAAATTCTCACACCACATTTCCAGGCAATTCATATATCTCATCATGTTGATTATAGAGAGAGTTAGAGAAATGGGGTTTAACCACTGCACCACCAAACCCCCCATATTGTTTATAGGAATGTATGATTATCTAGTGTCATTCATGATTGCTAGCAACATTGATCAGGGTTGCTACACTTCAAATTTTTGCTACCTGTAACTGAGGAAAAATATTTACATGAGATAATTAAACATGCATTATGCAAGAGCTAAATCTGCCTATTGCAGGTCTTTCTTTAGGCCTGAAATGTTATCTAAATTATTAATTAGACATTAATTAACTTATCCAGGCCTTAATCAACTCTCGATGGCATCAGATTTCTCCGATATTAAATAGATTAGAATGGTTCAGCGATACTTTGATTTAATCAAATATGGAGGACCGAGACTTAGCTTCGATCAACCAGTACAGTGGTTGAAATTATTGCACACGTCGGTCAAACCTTCAAAGGCTAATATCTTCGCTTGCAATAGAGTAATTTGAATGAAATTTTCAAATTATTCATTTTACATCATCTACTTTCGAACTATTATAGCAAAAATGGCTAGTTCTTTATCTAAATCTTACATAATGTATCTTTAATGAGATTGTTTTTATTTTTTATATTTTTAAATAAAAACCGGTCATGCGGCCCTTTTTAAGCGACACAGAAGTATATGAGAACCAGAATACTTGTTTGTATGGCCCAATCTTATTAAAACACAGATCCTATTTCGTTTCGTTTTTATAGTTCAAAATTTAGTTTTACTTGTCTTTACTACACTAGGATCTGGAAGAGTTGTTATCATTGATGTGTTCTGAATGATGTGAGGGATCAGCCAATGAAACGGTCTGTTGGTTAGTCAGATGGCTAACATCATAGGGTCAAAAGTCGCTCGTATGACCTCTGACGCGACCTCCCCACTACAACTGGTCAGATCTTCATGTAGTGTAAGCCATCGAAAGTATAAAAAAACAAAACGAAATATAGATCTGTATTTTAATCAGACTGTGTATGGCCTTAATTTAAAATCTTATAATTTCTTTCAAAGTTCTCTTACAGAGTTCATGTACTCAAATTGATTTTTAAAAAATCAAAATTTGAATGGCAAATAAACATTTTACTCTTATAGGTAGTGCTGGTTTGTTTATATCGTTCAAAGTATTGTCAATCTGAATCAGTAGCTTTAACCTAGTTCTTTATGTAACAATGTTGTATCCATCCTTGGTATCCCCAGTGGTTTCATTCCATTTCACTCCACTATACCCTGGGTTCATCCATGGGGTATTCACATAATCAAATTATCTGCCCTTCACCGTAACTTGATTCTACGAACCAATCAAAAAAACAGTTTACAAGCCAGTCTTAGCCTCATTATTTACATTCACAACAATATGGCAGCTTGTTCGCTCGATTATGAAAAAGTTTGCAAGAAATTTAATATAATAGAAGTGACCTGCACACAGAAAGATGTGATAAAACATCTTTTTGATGGCTAAGATGTTTTTATGTCAATCAAAACAGACAGTCTCAAGTTGTTACGCTCTTAAGCATATTGTTTGATAAAAATAGCACAATCATCAAGGGGAGATCATTTGAATATGTGTCTCCCCCATGGATAAACCCAGGGTATAGTGGAGTAGAACGGAATGAAACCACTGGAGAAAAAGAGGGTGTGGTGTATCATGTTAGTACAAAATTGACCTAGTTGTATTGAATGTTTGGGAATATATTAAAAAGGTAAATATGAAATATATTTTAACAGAGATGCCGCTTCTAATCGGGGACCTGTATCTAATGTAGAATGTCATGATCATGAACCAACATTTACTAGTAATGTGCAGGGTTTATTACGTACTAAGATGGAAGGAGGTAAGAATACAGAATAACATTTTCTTTGTTGCGGAGCCACAATGGCTTACTGACTAAGACACTGACTCGCTTGCCTTGAGGTCGCGAGATTGCTCCCTGTGTTGGCCAAGAAAGTTCATTGTGATTTTCCGGCATGGTTTCCCCCTTTTCAGTGGTGCAGGACTGGGGGGGGGGGGGCTTGACAAGGACAGCTGTCTAGTCATTCGGATGGGACAAAAAAATCAAGGTCACCAGACAGAGGGCCTGACAAGGACAGCTGTCTAGTCGTTTAGATGTGATAGAAGAATCAAGGTCCCAAGTACATATTGGTGCACAATTATTATTCCAGAGCATATCTTAGAAACTAATGAAGATAATTAATGTGAATTTTGATTAAATTAAATTTTGTAGACTTTTTTTTGTGTCATAATTGAATGCATTTTAATTCTTTTCAGGTGAGGGCACTATTCCAGTTGAAACAGATTTCACAGTGCAAACATGGGACGGTATCGTGCGTGGAGAGCGGTTACGTACCATGTCTTGCACTGATAAGATCTGTAGGTGGAATATTGTCGGTATGCAGGGGGCATTACTCTCTCACCTTCTTGATCCCGTTTATCTTAACTCTTTGACATTAGGTAAGTAGTACTATTATTTCTATTATGGAAACTTTAGGACTTAAATGTTATATAAACTATTAATTAGACATTAATTAACTTATCCAGACCATAATCAACACTTGTTTTCCTCGCTAGCCTTGGATATTTACTGGATTAGGATCCGAATTGCTGCTCAACTTTCATTCATGATTTAATCATGAAGTGGATAATCGAGACAATGTTTTTATCGTACCAAATTTAGTAATGATGTTAGAGGCTAGGCAGAAAATTCAATCCCTAAATTCTCTGTTCAGAATGGATCAATTTGACTGAAATTTTCAGCAAATTCACTTTACATTATCTAGTTTTTAACTATTTTAGTGAAAACTGCCAGCACTTTATCTAATCTCCCATAATGTATCTTTAAAGGATATTTGTACGATCATGGTCATCTATCTAGAGCTGTTTGTTGTCGTGTTGGTAAAGGTACAGACGACATCAATCAACAATTACCAGATGGTTATCATCTCAATCATCCCTGGTTAGGGAGAATGACAGCCTGTGAACCTCAGAGAGAGACCCAGAAAACCAAAGCATTGAGTATTAATTGGTGTTTAGGTGATGAGAAACCCGAGGTGATTGATGGTGTACAGGGAAGGTGTTATACGGGGTACGTATTATTGTCCTGAATCATGGCAACAAATAAACAATCTGATGCTATTATTCTGACAAGGTTTGAGAAAGATTAAAAATGAAGTGTTTTATTAGTCAGCAGTCTTGTTCTGTTTGCAAATGAATAAATGACTTAAAATCCACAAGGACTATCATCCACCATTATTACAAGCTAGATATTAATATGGTACTGTAAAACCACCTTATAACGGTAGGGCCGTGACTAGTGCACGATTTGTTCTAGGAAATCTACTAAGTTGGTGTGTTTCTATTCACACTTACATGTGACGTGGAAATAATGTCCTGTCCAACTTCATGGGTTTTCTCCAGGTCCACTGGTTTCTTCTCTCTTTTTAAAGACCCCTAAGCACAAGCAAATTATTGAAATAAAATTGAACCATATGTTGATCCAAAAATGACCTAGTTTGTCTCTCTGTCTGTCTCTCTCTCTCTCTCTCTCTCTCTCAAATGGTGATGACAAGTTTCTTGTTTCAGAGTGATGTGGACTGGGGTCTCAAGGCATCCTAACAAATAAAGAACTCTTTGGAACTTACTGGCCTTGATTTCAGGGATTAAAAAAAAATGGCTTCCAAAAAGCACAGGTCTTTGTGTATTCTCCTATGTATTTGGGGGGGTTGGATGGCGGAATGGTTAGCGTGCGCGCGCTGTATCATAAAGTCTGTCATTGAGTCGACTGGCGTGGTTTCGAATCCCCGGTTGTACGTGGCAAGGAGTAGGGTCGCCTGTCCAGCCTCGTGGGTTTTCTCCAGGTCCTCCGGTTTCCTCCCACTGCTAATGACCCCTACGCACAAGCGAATTATGTAAATAAAATTAAAACCATATGTTAGTCCCGAAATGACCTAGTTTGTGTCGAGTGGACGTTAAACCCCATTTCTCTCTCTTTCTCTCTCCTGTGTATTTGCAACATGTTAATTCATTAGTATGCCTGCATTAGAATGCTTAATTTTTCCATTTCAGTGTAGAAAGCCATTTCTTCTCGCGTGTTTGTAAAAGAGACCTGTTCACAAGTTTCCAATCAGTGTGCAATAAATTTGGTCGCACAGATCTTCTTGCAGCAAAAAGCTATAACGATGCCAAGAAGATGTCAAAAGACTTTCAGAATGCCAAGAGCATTATGTTAAAAAGACTGAAAGATAATGGGTTTGGCATCTGGGTGTCCAAACCTGTAGAAGAAGAAATGTTTGGATTATGAATCGTGAATATGTGAAATAGCCAATCATAGGAGGATCGTCTCAAAACTTAATGAGTATATTATGTGACCTGTGAAAGCAAAATGAGTCGGAAGTCGAAAGTCTTTTACATTATGAACAAAAATATTAGAATAAGCTAAAATTTAAATGATACAACATGAAAGGTAAAAGTTTAGATTTGACAAATAAAGCAAGCTAAATTTTTTTAATATTTTTATTTTGACATTAAGAAAGCAGGAGACAATTCATCCCTGGTTTCCTCAGTGGTCGCATTCCGTTCTACTCCACTATACACTGGGTTAAAATAAGCTAAGATTTAAATGATATAACATGAAAGGTAAAAGTTCAGATTTGACAAATAAAGCAAGCTAAAAAATATTTTATAATTCAACATTTTTTTGATATTTTGTTAGTATAAACAATGACTTCCGACTCATTTTGCTGTCATAGGTCACATATGTATATACCTTTAGGGTTGGATATCGCTGGAATGAGACCATGTTTAATTTAAATAATTCTCTAAATGGGGAACAAAAACGGTTTGATATGTAAGGTAAATACACATAATGTGCTGACAGGTATAGATGATGTCTGAAACAGAAAATTAAAACATATTTATTATAGGACCCGCATTCTATCCTAAACAAAAAAAATACACAATATACAACAAAATTAAAACAATAGAGTTAGATGTGTAAGATGATATCTGGTGTTCCGTAAAATTTTTCCAAACCTAATGTTTAAAACATAGCAATTACATGTATATCTAGGTGATGTGTACAAATTTTCCCACTGAAACAGAAGATATTTACAAGATATTAATATCTAAAAGATAATCAATGTAACAAGAAGGTCTGAGAAGATTGTGAAGAGTTTCAGAATTACTGTCTGGAATTTGGTCGTACTTTTCAGCATAATTTATGCTTTTACCTTATAGTTGTTCCACCACAAAGAAACATGTGAAGCTCGATACTGTTGATGTTATGCAAAGATCTTGTGATGTATGATGTCATTAAGATATCTCCAAAAGGCCAAAAATAAAAATAACTGTGTTTATGGTTAATTGGCCACATAAAAAAGGGTTTGTTGGTTGGAAAATCTTTTTTATCAGTCAATTTAAATCAACATTGATGTTGTTATCTTACCATAAAAAGATGGGCTTCGGTTAGGTTATTTTAAATACTGGAAAGTGTTTATTATTTATTTGGGCTGAGGTAGGTCGGTAACCGTAAACACAGGTCATTTTTGTTTTGGCCTAATCTAATGACTTGATGCAATCTGATTAAAACACAGATCCTATTTCGTTTCGTTTTTTTATGGTTTTAAAATTTCGTTTTACTTGTCTTTACTACATTAGGATCTGGAAGAGCAGTCGTATAAGCCTCGTTCTGGTTGATGTGAGTGATTAGCCAATGAAAAGGTCTGTTGCGATGAGTTCTTGCTGTGCTGTACACAGAACTGTGGTAGAGATTCACAGCAAGACAAAGAAAAAGTTGTATTTGCAATTACCCACTAGAAACATCAACGCTGATTAGTTAATCAAATGTCTGACGTCATAGGATCAAAAGCCGCTCGAATGACCTGTGAGGCATCCGCCCACTACAACTGGTGAGATATTCATGTAGTGGAGGCCAGCGAAAGTATAAAAAAACGAAATATAGATCTGTATTTAAATCAGATTGGGGCAGATGCTTTGCCTATGTCACCTGTTGCAGATTATACTAAAGGTTGTTAAGTCCGTGGCTAAAACACCTGTGCTTCAAGGCGATAGTGTAGTTAGTGAATGTAAAGATGTCTTGCAAAATGGACTGATATAAACTATGATTATTGTAAATTTATCATGAATTTTGTAAGCTCACTCCACGCTGGAGCTGCTAAACATTCCAGTGTCAATTCTCAGCTTCGTTAATCATGTTTTTCCTCCATGGTGAACATCTCTCACATAAAATTAAACAAGACAAAAATGTTTTAAACATTTTCCGACAATGGATGATTGCCCAGAATAGAGTTGGTGTCAGACCACCAATTAATCATAAATGCATTGTTATGTGTCACTTTTAGCTTAGATTTAATTATTTAGAATTAAAATAAAAGTTTAACCAAACATAAGGTTTCAATATTTTTTTTAAAATTAAACCAAACATTGGATTTTAATATTTTTTAGAATTTAACCAAAGATTAAATTTTTTAGAATCTAACCCAACATTGGATTTTAACATTTTTTAGAATTCAACTAAACATTGGATTTTGAAATTTTTTAGAATTTAACTGAAAAATTAATATTAATGTTTACTTATATCTCGACTTCTAAATAGTATCACCAATACATGTAAATTTTTATATTTAGTGCTAGAGAATTTATAAACTATAAAATGATATCTGTTGCAAAAAAAAGCTTTATTTTAATATTTTTTAGAATTTAACCAAAGATTAAATTTTTTAGAATCTAACCCATCATTGGATTTTAACATTTTTTAGAATTCAACTAAACATTGGATTTTGAAATTTTTTAGAATTTAACTGAAAAATTAATATTAATGTTTACTTATATCTCGACTTCTAAATAGTATCACCAATACATGTAAATTTTTATATTTAGTGCTAGAGAATTTATAAACTATAAAATGATATCTGTTGCAAAAAAAAGCTTTATTTTTTTTTTTTTTTTTTTTTTTTTTTTTTGCTCGCTTTTTCCACACAGCATCATTTTTGTTGTTGTATATATTCCTACACCTGCTTGTACTTGTGATTACAATTATCATCCAATCATGTGTTAACGTTTGTGCTACCAAGTAGCCAATCGAATTTCAGCAATTTCTGTTTATAAGTTCCAGCTTTCTTTTGACCTTGATCTTGTGTAGTAGTATAAGTCGCTGTCTTCTCACCCATTTTTGGATTATCAATTTTGAAAGACTTAATCTAGAGTTATTGTTCTTGATTATGTTGTAGAATCTTGTCAAAACAGCAAATGATATTTATCAATATAAAGATTTTGTTTTTTATTTGCCAAAAAATAAAAACACTACAACCATCATGGCCTAAATGGTTGCTGTTGGCATATGTTTGGTTGTCTGTAACCTTATCTTTTTTATGGATAAGCTTTAAATACTCCAAAACTGGAACTAAGTTAAATTAAGAATGCAGTCTTTATTGGCCAAGAGCTAAATTTTGTACCAAGATTTCAACTCTCAAACAATGAAAAGGCTGCCTACTTAGACTATTGTATATCAAGTTTTCGAGAATAAGGCTCCAGTACTGATTCTCTTTATTCAACTAGTAAAAATTGTTTTAAATTGATTTTTAGGATATATTGATGAAGATATTATTCTGTTTTATAGTATTTGTATTCAGGGTATCAAGTAGAACCATGAATAATGTTCATTTAATTTTTATTGTTGACACAAGGAGAAATTATTCACTTGAAGCCTGGGATAACCAACCCAAACGATCTTGGAACTTTCAGTCCCATTTGGAATGAAATATAATTTGTACTTGGGATTGTATCGTTTTAATATTAGGTCATGAATAAAATATTGTTTTTTAAAATCAAATTGTCCTTTAAAGGATAGAAATATCTTTGGATTTAGATGATGATTTAAAGGGTATGTAACTCTTGATTTAATATTATCCATAATATTCGACATTACGAACTTGTGGTAGAAATCAGTATTTGTACATTGCAATCAATATTGATGTTGGATATCAGCATCCTCGGTATCCCCAGTGCATTGTTTCTTGCTGACCTACACCACTACCCTCTGGTTTCATCCCTAAGGTATTCACGTATTCAGATTTTTTGTCCTTGATGATTGTGCTTTTTTTTTTCGACCAATTAAAAAGTTTGGTAAATACAAAGGAAGTTGGCAAAGGGAAGTAAACTTTCTCATGCACGAGCAAACAAGTCACCATATTGTTGTGAATGTAATAATGAGACCAAGACTGGTTTTTAAACTGTTATTGATTGGTTCGTAGAATCAAGCTACAAGGACAGACAATTTGAATACATGGATAAAGCCAGGGGTTAGTGGAGTAGATAGGAATGAGACCACTGGGGATACCGAGGATGCTGATATCCAACATATAATATAAGACGCAATAATCACTATAAAATCAGTTCCTGACGTCGGGTTCTCTATAGCTTTGAGTGTCATTTGTAATGGAGTAAGCAGCTTACTTATAAATTATTATAACAACATTTTAAATGTATTAATAATTATGTTGAGTAATGTAATAAAAAAAAAAATGAAAATAAATAAATTCGTTTCGTCTTCTATACTTCAGAATTTCGTTCTTATATAACCCACGTTAGTCACGAAATGACCTACTTTGTGTCGTGTGGACGTTAAACCCAATCTCTCTCTCTCTCTCTCTCTCTCTCTCTCTCTCTCTCTCTCTCTCTATATATATATATATATATATATATATATATATATATATATATATATATATATGTATATATATATATATGTATATATAAATAAAAAAATCCGTCCAGATAAAAAATTCTCCACTTTACTTCATTCTGACATACATTAAATCATATAAGCTAACTGTCTGCCTTCTATGGGCGTCTTCAGATATTAATAATGTATATATATATATATATATATATATATATATCCCCGCGTTCTGATTGATGTGTGGGTTTAGCCATTGGATTGTCTGTTGTGAGTTCTTGGCGTACGATCCACGGAACTATGGGTATTCCACTAGAGACATCAACGCTGATTGGTTAATCATATGTCTGACGTCACAGGCTTGTTGGTGGCATAAGCTTGTTTCAACCCAATTGATCTATCCTTTTCAGACTTAGAACTTATCAGCCAGGCCTCGTATTCAGAGATGTGCGGCATGCACCTATTGGTTTGTGTTTTGGTCAGCTTTTAGTCGTTAGGATAGAAAGAAAAACATATCTCTCATGTACACGTGTGCATTTAAAAGAACCCTTAACAGTTGAAATCTAAATAAGAGTATTGGCGGGGCAAAATTTCCCTTAAAGCACATTGTATGACGTATGTCCGTCTTCATTAGCCCAGTCAGTGCAGAACAGTAGGACGTTAAACCTCGTCTTCGATAGCTCGGTCTGAGCAGAACAGTAGGACGTTAAATTCCATTTCATTTCAGGGCGTTAAAACTCCATTTAATTTAAAAGGACACCAGGTCCTGTTCATTATCTGTTTAATCGAGTATTTAGAGATGTGTTACATGGCCGGCTGTTTGGGAATTTCAATGGAATTTCCAGTCATTTAATTCACACACTGGTTCTCGGTCAATATGTGTCCAACGACGAATTGAGATCCAAGGAAACCAGTTGGCCTGAGCGCCCAGAGCTACCCAGTCCGCCCATGCACTCAACTTTTCTAAGTTCGATGTTTTGATAATTACAGTAAGTATTTTGAATTTAAGATTTAAAATTAAGCCAAGGCCCTCTTCCCGGATGTGTATGGAAAATATTTAAAGAAAGCCTTGCTTTACGTTTTATAAAAGAAAGGAAATGAAAGTAGGCCACTAGTTATCTATAAAGACGCGTCTCGTTCAGTTGTTGCACTCTTAAGCCGATTTTACCCTGGTTGTAACTTACAAATATAAGTAGTTCTGTACTAAGAAAATATTTAGCGTGTCTGTACTTAAAAATAGCCGTGTTATTAGTGATGATTTCTTCTTTACGGGCGTGATTATCGTTTTTTATCTCTAGAAAGATTATCTTTTACTTTCAAAACTTATCTTTGTCTTTAGTTTTTTAAGATATCTTTTGTTTGTGTAAGTTCGCCGATGTCACACCAATGCGTTACAATTATGTTTCTTAAGATGATCAAAATTGAAATATATTTTATTAAACTATGAGACAATTTAATCAGTGTAAATTAAAGAGCGTATTCAGTTCAGTGTCGATGTTTAAGAAATACCGAGGAAATAAATTATTATTATGGATGTAAAGCGATTTTTGAAGGAATTATGGATAACTAAGAAAACATTGTTAGTTATATCTGTACCTATATTATTGTTACCCTTGCCGCTTATTGTCAATACAAAGGTAAGTAATTTCTTTTCCCAATACAAATAAACATTTTCGCGAAATTTGTATTTTCACAATAGCATGCTTAAGATCAAACTGTATAATTTGTATAATTTAGAATGATCTTTTAGAGGCATTTAGAAACTGGATAGAGCAATAAAGTATAACACATACTTATGGAAGAACAATTACTGATTTATATAGACGACGCTTCGAAGAGTAGTCTCTCAGCGTTTTCAAGCATGTTGAGTAACAAATGTGTAGGGCAATTATATATAGACAAGCAATAACATCAAATCAATAATAATAATAATAATAATAAAAACTTTATTTAATGAGGCAACGTATTTAGTTTGCAAAAAAACCCAACTAATCTTCCATAGGTCCCTCCTAAACTACAAAGACATATATACATGTAATATCAGGATAAATTTAAAATCATTAGAAATGCAATAGCATTTTAAAGTGGGAAGTTTGATAAGTCACTCCCAAACTACAAAACATATACATTATACAAGTAGAATATAGGAAGAACACTATAATTACACACAAAATAAAATAGAATGCAGTTGCAAGTTAAAAATAATAAGTATGTCATCAGTTGAATATTATGGTTCCTTCAGTGTGCAAAATAAATGAGTTTTCAGTTTAATCTTAAAATTTTCAACATTTTTACACATCTTTATATCAAAAGGCAGATTGTTCCATAAAAGACATGCAGAATAATGAAAAGTACGTTTCATGGATTCCGTTTTGCATTTTTGAAGAAAAAGAGATTTACTGGTCTGTGAACGGAGCAAGATATCCGTTTTGGAAACAAGAGATTTTTCAATAAAATGGAAATTTAGATAAAGTGGAGTATTAAATGTAATAATTTTGAATGATAAGACAATTTTATTGTAAAGAATCCTCTGTGTAAGGGTAAGCCAACCGAGTTTAGTAAATAAAGAGGTGGACGGAGTTTCAATCGGTGCATCAAGAATAGCTCTTGCTGCCCTCTTTTGTAATTTTAAAAGAATGTCTAATCTACTTTTGGTAGCATTTCCCCAAATAATAGAGCAATAATCAAATATTGGTAGTATGTAACTGTTATAAAACAAAATTCTTGTCTCGTAAGGTAAATGATCTTTTATCTTATTTAGGAGAAATATTTTTGATGCAAGTTTTTTAGACATATCTGCTATCTGTGCTTCCCAATTAAGGTCTTGGTCAATTTGAATTCCAAGTAATTTTGCGGTAGTAACCGTCTCAATTTTCTCACCATGGAGTGATAAAGTTAGGTTTTTCTGATTTCTTTTGTGTTTTGTTGAAATCAGCATTGATTTTGTTTTCGAAGGATTGATTACCATCCCATTGTTTTCACACCATTCAGCAACCAAATAGAGATCATTTTGGAGATTTTTGGCAATGGATAAAATATCTTTGTGTGAACAATGCAGGGTACTGTCATCAGCAAACAAATCTATCTGACTTGATTCAATATTGAGTGGGAGATCATTTATAAAAATTAGGAATAGGAGAGGACCCAGGATCGAACCTTGTGGAACCCCGCATTTGACTGTAGTAATTGAGGAGGTAATTGATCCTAAACATACTTTTTGCTTCCGTGAGTCAAGATATGATTCAATCAAAATTTGTGAATTATTATCAAATCGATAAAGATGTAGTTTTTCAATAATAAGCTTATGATCAATGAGATCAAATGCTTTGCTAAAATCAAGATACACTATACCACTCATCGCACTATTATCGATAGCATCAAGCCAATTATCTGTCATTCGGATCAGTGCAGTAGCACATGAATGATTTGATCTAAATCCAGATTGGTAAGCATAAAGAACATTGAAGGTTTCCAAATAAGTTTGAATTTGAGTGCTCAAGTGCCTTTCGAATATTTTTGAAATTGTGGGGAGAATTGAGATTGGCCTATAATTGTTCGGATCATCTTTAGCTCCCTTCTTATGTATAGGAATAATTTTAGCCAGTTTAAGGGCACTGGGGAACATGTTTTGAGAAATACAAAGATTAATGATATATGTCAAACTGCTACAAATTGTATACGCAGACAATTTTAAAATTTTGGGTCCAATACCATCACACCCAATGGCTTTGTTACTATTTAAACTCAATAAATGTTTTAATACCTCTGTGGTAGTAATACAATTAATAGAAAAGTTGTTATTTGGGGGAATCTTATCATTTACGTAATCTGATATCTTTCGTTTGCACTCTTGAGAAAGTGGTGTATAGGGGGGCTTAATGTCATCAGTTAAATTAGTGAAGTAATCATTCATCACATTAGCAATAGCATTTAGATCATTAACTGTTGTTTTTCCATATTTAATACTATTGGGATAAGGGCAATTATTGGGTTTATTCTGTATGTCACTAAAATATCTCCATATGTTTTTAGATTGCTCTTCATTTTCGATAGAGTCCTTGATAAAGTTTTTTTTGGCTTTATTAATGAGATTTTTGGTTTTATTTCTCCATATTCTATAGTCGTCACACCTCTTGGAGGCTTTAAAGAAGTCCCTGAACTTTCGGGCTTTATTTATTTCCTCATTAAACCACTTCGGTTGATAGTATCTTTTTACTCTTTTTCGCTTTTGCGGAGCATGGCAGTCTAAAACACCTATAAAAAGGTTATACCAAGTATCAAGGGCAGAATTTGGGTCATCAATTGACTCGACTAGTTCAAATGGAATTTTAGCAAGATCATTAATAAAATTAGAATCATCAAAGTTTTTGTAATTTCTGTATAGAATTTCCAAGTGGTTGTGTTTTGTGATTTTTCTCTTGCAGTTTCCAATGATAAAAATAATCGGAAAATGGTCACTAATACCATATTGAGGAACTTTAATTTCAACAATATTATCCGGTGTGTTTGTATATAGATGGTCAATGACAGTAGAAGAATTTTTAAAACAGCGTGTAGGGGCAGTAATTAATTGATGTAATCCCTGCATATTGATTATGTTTTCCCATCGTTTTGGAACAGTAGTTGAATAATCTATATTAAAATCTCCTATTACATAAATAGATTGACCAGTATTTATGGAATTTAAACTAGTTTCAAAATCATCAAACCAACCTGTACACGAAGAAGGTGGTCTATATACAAGACATAATAAAAATGATTTTTCATATTCTGGATGGAGTTCAATCCAAATGGATTCGATATTTTGATGTTCATAATCAAGTTTTCTTGAATATTTTAGATCTGAATTTACATATAAGATAAGGCCTCCGTGGGAAGTTTCAGATTGGTTCATCTGAATAGATAGTAATGGCAAAACAAAAACCAGAAAGAAAGAAAAAAATAAGAAAAAAAAAATGGATTCGCATATTGTATTTATATCAGAATCGCTATTTACAGACTTCCCTCAAAATGAAAAACAAACTGACAATAAAAATCAAGCAATGACTACAAAAAAGGCGCAATAGAAATGATTCAACCTATCTTGATGGTGGTCGTCTTCTGAATTTATTCATCAGCAGACAATTATGTTAATCCGAGCAAGTGCTTCCTCGCCCACCGGGTCAAAGCTAAAGATTTGCCTAAAACGCAACACAAATAATTTGGTTTTCCTATCCATATTCAGACGGTACTTTAAGACGATAATGTCTTTGCACTGGAATTTTTTATATTTAAACACAAATGTAGTCAAGTGTAAAATCTCGAGCCAACATCTTCCGATGGTATACCGACATATTGTTAAAGTGACATTATGTTAAAGATTGATTATATATGACCTAAATCTACCTATTAGAGATCTTTTATTCTGGCTTCAAATGTTATATAGATCATTATTTAGACATTTACATGTTGTAAACAGTAGGACGTTAAACCTCATTTCAAATAACACACTATTTATGGATAACAATTACTGTGGTTTATTTCACTGCGACGTTTCAACAAGATTTCACAGGTCGTTATCAAGCAAACCTCATTTCATTTACATGTTTTAAAATCCCATTTTCAACTCTCTAGGTCATCGGATGGCAGAGGTATTAAATACCCATGTCATTTAATAATTTAGTGTTAAAATGGACAATCGATTGTTTGTTATCACGCAATGGTATTTAACAATCGAGGATGTGCAGTCTAAATCATAACATTCATAACTTCGCACAGACTAAAATAACTGGACTGAAATGTTCAATATATACATTAGCTATGGGCAATTTCAAAATCATTATCCACCGTATTATGTTGATTTTGTTGGTAATCACCTTATTGGCAGCGTCTTATAGGTAACATTAAACATTGGATGTCATCTGACATAATGAAAACCAACTTTCTACTCGTTGTTTCTGCTCACAATGTTTTCCATGTGATAATATTAAAAATGTTTTCTTTTTCCCACACATGTGATAATATTAAAAATGATTTTTTTTTCCCACACATGTGATAATATTAAAAATGTTTTTTCCCAGAGTATGATATTTATCAAAAAGTGGTTTTCAAGGCATGTTATCGATATTTAAGTAAAAGGGTTATAATAGTAAAAAGGGTTTTTCCAGCCATCCTATAATATTAAAAAGGGGATTTTTCAGACAAGTTATAATATCAAAAAGATGTTTTCCAGACATGATATTCAACAAATGGGGGTTTCCAGGCATGTTTTAATATTTAAAAGGAGTTTTCCAGACATGTTATAATATTTGAAAGGATTTTCCAAACATGTTATAATAACAAAGAGAGGTTTTCTAGACATGTTATAATATTAAAAAATGGGTTTTCCAGACATGTTATAATAATAGATGAAATGAAATGGGGTTCAACGTCCTACTGTTCTGCTCCTATACTGGGCTAATGAAGACGGGCATACGCCATACAGGGTGCTATGAGGGAAATTTTGCCCGGGCAGCGGCACTATCGCCTACTCTTATATCGAATTCCAACTGCCAGGGGATCTTTTACGTGCATTCCAATATATACACGGGACCTCGGTTTTTCGTCTCATCCGAAGGACTAGACAGCTGTCCTTGTCAGGCCCTCCGTCCTGCATATAAAAAGGAGTTTCTAGACATGTTATAATAATATAAACGAGTTTCTAGACATGTTATAATAACATAAACGATTTTCCAGACATGTTATAATATTATGATAGTAAGAAAATATCGGATTTCCAGAAAGTAAATGGTGTATAATTTTGATTTGAATAATGTTGTTTTAATTTGAATCATGCGGTTTTGATTTCTTGTATTAGAAAAAATATGTAGAGTCTTCCTGAACATTTTCTCTGTAAACGTTGCAATTTGGGACAGTCGAGGGAAGTTCGCACAAACAAACATTTGCGTTTCTTTAGAAATATTTGAAGGGTGTAGTCCTTTGAAGATTTTGGGTTGAAATGTCAGTAAAGTTCAGGTGACGTATAACCTTTCTGTCTCGCGATATTTGCTTGTGTATTAACTTATTAAATTTTTAACCAAAAGTTCCACGAACTGATTGATGTTTTGAAGGTCGAAGTTTGAGGTCTTGAAGGTCAACCTCGCCTTTAAAGATCCAAGTCCAGCGACTATTTGTAACAAGTGCCTCTATTGGATGTTGAATTACGGAAGTAAAGTGACAATCCTTATAGAAAAAAAACCTGTTTATACCTGTAAGTCAGACAGGCTCAACACAAATCCATTGCAAATTGTTTCGTGATGCACCTATTGCACTTTGAATTTAACGTTATCATTTCCGGGATATATATATAGGGATAATTCCAGCATTAAAATATAGAAATTATTATCTGATTGTGTTATATATTTTCTTTGATGTGATTATCCACTCTATATTAAAGTAGCTAAGTCTCTAACTAAATATCACCCAAAATATTCGACATTGAAAACACGATTTATTTGTCGGTTTAAATCAACATTGATGTTGTGATCTTACCGGGAAAAGATGGCCTTCTGATATCCAATATTTAAGACAAAATAAACATTCCACAAGTCATGTCAAACGGTGACGCTATATTCTTATCTGGAGAGCAAGCCCAATTAATAATATCGGCGTAGACTGGAATAACCAGACGCTAGAGATTGAATTCGATTGAGAATACTGGCGTATTTCGCCGAACCTAACTGATTAAAAATTACAGTAAAAACAGAAACGTTTGAATGTAAATCAATTTACATACATTCATATTACATTACTGTATGCGTTGCGACCCATTTGTGTCAATTTCTAGGTCCCAAATATTAGCAACTTAGCTCCTTTAAACATACATTATGCAAGAGCTAAATCTGCCTATTGCAGGTCTTTCTTTTGGCCTGAAATATTTTCTAAATTATTAATTATACATTAATTAATTTATTCAGGCCATAATCAACTCTCGATGGCATCGGATTTCTTCGATATTAATATCTTAGAACAGTTCAGCCATATTTCATTTAAGCTAAAAATGGAGGAGCGAGACTTAGCTTCGAACAACCAGTACGGTGGTTGAAATTATTGCACCGTCTTGTCAAACCTTCAAAGGCTGATATCTTCGCTCACAATAAATTAATTTGAATGAAATTTTCAAATTATTTATTTTACATTATCTATTTTCGAACTAGTATAGCAAGAATGGCTAGCTCTTTATCTGAATCTTACATAATGTATCTTTAAAGGATTTTAATATTTTACACAAAAATTAAAATTAAATAACATTAAATTGCCGCTGGCACATTTGATTGCTATGATTAGCGGTGATGGATGGAGGTCCTGGCAATGAAAAGCGTCTAGTTGACAGTTGAAAGTCAAAATATGAGTAGGCCACAGAGCCGCTGCCAGAGTGTATTTACCTGTGACCATCTTCGTTAACGTTAGGAAAACGAAATTCCGTCGATTACTTCAACGCCTCATGAGCCTTTAATCCTGCGAAATGCGAGCTTCTACCACGACGAGATTGTCCAGGAATGATTTTTTTTTTATCTAATTTTGTTTCATTTGTTTCAATTACAGGAAGGAAAATGTGCGTATGGTATGATTTTGATGGCTATATTCTGGATAACAGAGGCTATACCTCTAGCGATGACGTCATTATTACCAGTAGTATTATTCCCACTGTTTGGTGTACAACCCGTTAAAGATGTTGCTCAAAATTATACCAAGGTGCTTTTGATTAACGTGTTGTTAATTAAATAAATATAGCCAATGATAGATCACGTTAATGATCGCGTGATATATGCCAATTAAATATATAATACATGCTCGTCGGAACAAAATTCATATGGGTCAGAGGTGGCTGTCCGGGCAAATTTTTAAGCCAAGGAGCACATATTTGATCCTCCAAATGATACCCAATTATTACTGTACCTTAGCGACAACGGGACGGGGGCGAGGGTCGAATGGTCTATGGTGCACACATTGGATCACCAGGTCTCTCATTGGGTCGGGTGGCGTGCAGGTTTCGATTCCAAGCTTGGTGGTGATAAGGGGCGGGGTCGCGTGTCCAATCTTGTCAGTTTGCTCCCGCTATAACAGATCCCTAAGCGCAAGACCGGAAATGATCAATATATAGTTTGTGTCGATTGAACGTTAAATCATATTTCTCTATGCATTGGAGTGTGTTTTTATATATGTATATATAACAAAACAAATGCTTTGAAATTGGTGTTTTATATGGGTATATTAATTCTGTTATAATATAGGAAGCTACAATGTTTGGTTTGGGTGGACTAATGGTGGCCATTGCTGTAGAAAAATGTAATCTTCATAAACGGATTGCTTTGAAAACTCTACAGAAAGTCGGATCGGAACCGAAATGGTAAATTTATAATCTTTCTATTTCAATACATGTTAGTCTTCACAGAATTGTAATTATCAAATCTTGAATAAAAATACATTACCATCGTTCTTTTGGGATATTCGCCTGTCCATCTTCTTGGGTTTACTCTAGGTCACCCGGTTTCCTGCTAACAACCCCTACGCGCAAGCGAATTTTTGGAATCAAAATTGAACCATATGTTAGTCACGAAATGTGCTAGTTTGTGTCCAGTGAATTTTAAACCCTATTTCTCTAGATTTTCGTTAAAATTGTTTATTTTTAACATCAAGGTTAATGTTTGGTTTAATGTTACCCACGTGGTTTTTGTCTATGTGGGTGAGTAATACAGCTACAACCGCCATGATGATTCCAATAGCAGGCGCCATATTGGAACAACTCAAGCGATTTATTGAAGAAGAAGATAAAGAGGCTGAGAAAGGTTTGATACGTTATTTTTACCATTTCAGTCTGTAACATTATCTTCGAAATGTCAAATAGATTCGCGGGCATCTTTACAGGGCCCCGTTCTGTATTTGATGTGTTTGGTTTAAACAGGTCCTCGAATTCCAACTGCCAAGGATTCTTAATGTACGTGCGCTCCAATGGTTTTTATCTTAGCTCAACGACTAGGCACACTTCCTTGCAGCTTCGCAGGCTCTGCGACTCAGATAAATCCCGACTCTCGGCCCATGCCAGGATCAGAACCATGGGGATTCTAGTCAATGGGTCAGTGTCTTACCTCCCTTCAACTGCGGAATTGCCTTGTCATTAGAGTACTGCAGTGTTGTTGATTTCGCTCATTAGTTCTATAATTGTCATTTGAGTGCCTGTTTGGGTAACGGTGTACTTAACGTCCATTGTTTCAGGTCTTGTTGTAGGTAGGTGGGGGGTCGGGCATCTAATGAAAATAGAACAGGTAGGTGCTGACTGACCCAGGTTGCAACCCCCATTCCACCTATCACTAGTAACCAATCGCATTTGTGCAAATAGATACCCCCCCCCCCCGGGCTTAGGCGTTGCCTTTCCAAAACCAAATTGGCCTCCTGCTCACTTGTGTTCGTTCTACAAATATATTACCAGTACTTAAAATTTGTTACCAGTGGCCGCGAATGGTGGAGTTGAAAATAGTGCCTTCGAATTACCTGAAGCAAATATAAACAATGTGCAGCCCAGGGTTAAAGAGGAAACAAATCCTACAAACGGAACCAGGTACGTTAAACATAAAATTGTTGTAGAAAATTTAACTATAATTCAGCTCTCACCCTGACTTGAAATACTCGGGTCTTACTAATTACCGACAAGAATGCTTTTTTGTTAATATCGTCCAAGTGACCAACAAAGAAAGACATATGTTATATTTAGACATATTCTATAATAAACATAATATCCAAATTTAAAAGATTTCATAAAACACTGACAAAATGATGTCCAAGTGAAACTGACAAAAAAATCCCGACTCTCCCTGGTTCATGTTGTTGATTAATCAAACCGTTGTTGTCAAAATTTCAATTATCTCTATGAATTTTTCTGTGTAGGATAAAGCACGAGACTGAGGTTATGCTGGGTAAAGAAAGACTGAAGACAATAACCCGAGAGAAAGTAAAACCGAGGCCGGCCGGCCGATGGTTTTCTGTCGAGGGTTTTTTCTGAAGTCTTTCTTCCCCAGCGTAACTGAAGTCGAGGACTCTATCTTGCTTATAAACCGTCTATGTTTACATGTACGCAAGATGAGAATATCCCAGAATTCCCACAAGAAAAACCTTATATCATGTTTTCGTATGGGAAAAAAACCTATACCCTGGGAGAATAACCCGTTACAGGTTTAAAGAAAAACTTTCAGAAGAATAACCCCAAATCTCCCTGTATATATATCAAAAACCTTCCCCGACTTTCAGACCGCAAGTTATTCCGGCATAGAATATACCCCAAAGATTAAAGAAATTTACCGTTACAGGTTTATAATTCCTATGAAATCATTTACAGTTTGAACATGGTGTATAGAATATGTATATCTATGAGATATCTTTCCTTGTCAGCCAATTTTGTCAGGCACCTTGGACGTTACGGACAAAAAACGCCCTTGTCGGTAATTAGTAGAACCATTCTTGCCAACATTATAATTATCCATCATTTAAATTTTGAATCTATGATGTTTAGAATGATCCCTAAAACATATTTCCTTGTCTGTCACTGTTTGCGATGCTTAGGGTACTATTGGCGAAATAAACTCTATTGCCGGTTCTGGTCAGTGATTGGTAGGACTATAGGATAGATATATGTTATTGGCAGTTGCTTGTTGACCTCCCAAACATTGTGAAATTTTATCTGCTAGAACAGTATCGCAATATCCTAAGCCTGCTAAAGCACAGTGTTTTGCGACCCACTGAAATCAGCCAGTTGAAGAGGTTAGAGATTAAACATATATAAGTATGATGTAATTTTCAGAAGAGTCTCTGGTGTTGATGATGAAGTTGCAGATATAGTTATTAATGTTAGTCAAATAGAAGTATCAGAGTCTCCACGGTATGCTCGGCTATGTAAAGGTTTTGCTCTGTCTGTAGCGTACTCTGCTAATATTGGTGGTACTGGATCACTATCAGGAACGGGAACTAACCTCGTCATGCAGGGACAAACGGAACTGTAAGTTATCATAGATTACAGTATATTTGACATTTAGAAAATGTAGCAAGAATCAAATGTGGTTAAACATGGTGTAAGGGGGATCTTGCAGACAAGTTGTCTTTCCTGTGAAAGGAAATTGAGAAGCCACATAAGCCCACAACAGGGATTGACACCACGACCGCAAGCCAGAGGTGACCGACTAGATATTGACTGAATGTGAGTCTTTCTTATACGCTCATGGGGAAATGAGACTGTATTTTTATTGCTCCACAACTCTACAACTAGTGCTATTAAAAAATAATTATCCGTTTATCTGCATGAAATGTAGTTGCTCTGATTAATGGATGCAATGTCTTTCAGTGTTTATTACTCATTTTGCAGAATCCCGTGAACGCTCTAATGACAGAAGTTATCATCCGATCGGCTTGAAATTTGCCATTTTGCAGTATTCTGATAAATTGAGTTATAGCCTTTGATTATATCATGGACTCTTTCCAAAGGGTATAAAGATTGTACTTTTTATTTACCTAAAGATTCACAATGCGACAACCCTTGTGGATTACCCGGACGACGTTGCCTGGCAACATATATCTTTGTTTTTTGCAGTGTGTTTTCTGCGCATGGTCAAGAATCACCAATCAATTTTCTGTCGTGGATGATATACGCACTTCCCGGATCCATGATATGTCTTATACTGGCTTGGCTGTGGTTACAGTGTTTCTTTATGGGATTCAGGTAAACAAATTTATAAATCAACAATAACATAATCTTTAACCAAAGATTTTTATAAATCAACAATATAATTTTACTGTTTTAACGAATTCATATACAATCAAAGATTTTTATAAATCAACAATGACAAAAAATTTAAATGTGTTTTACTATTTTAATGAATTCATATACAACCAAACATGTTTGATCGCTATCGATGCTTCATTATATATTCTTTTAAGTTTATCATAGATATCTTCTTCATCCCTGCCTTTGGAATCTAAACTAATTTAGTGAAATTCATCTTTAGCCAAAAATGTTTGATAGCTATCATTGCTTCTTTAAGGTTGCTCATGCGGTCGCGTGTTCGCTCCTGGTGTTGGTCAGGACTTCACACCGTGGTTTCCCCTTAGTTGCAAAGGGGGGGGGGGGGGGGGCTGACAAGGGACAGGATCTAGTCAATCGGATGGACCAAAAATTGAGGACCCGACTTCATTAACCCAGTCGGTGCAGACAAGTAGGACATTAAACACCATTTTATTTCATGCTTTGTGTATGCTTTGGGTGGATTTGGCATTTCTAAGCAGAATATATAGACAGCTTTTCAGCCTTTGAAATCTTAAAGTGGTTATTGATTATATCCATTTGTATTCAATGTAGAAACACGTTGTGTTGTCCTAAGAAATCAGTGGAAGCCGCTAAAGCCGTGAAACGTGTAATTAATGATGAGTACAAGAACCTTGGTCCAATGTCGTAAGTTTTGACTATATTTACAAGATTTATATTTTATGAAAACGAGGACCCAGTGTCGTTTTAGCAGCATCATACGCCACTGGGCTTAGCAGTGTACTGGGGGCCTGGCTGCCAAATAAAGCGGTCGATAAGATTAAACGTATATTTATTGTTCTGAAAATCAGAGTTTAAAGGCTCAATACCACTCATGTTGTAACTGAATAACATGTCCCAATCTTTATTCTGGTCAACAAATTGTACTATTTTACAATATTCCAATTAATTGATGATACAAATTTCATCTTAACACACCTAATTTAAAAAATTGGAAAAATTCAACTAAATGGTTTAAAAAGCCTAACTTAAAGCTTTTCAAATGTGACTTGGATTTAAAAATATTTTCGAACCCTCTGGACAAGTAAAATAGGATGTAATGGATAATTTACACAACAGGTAGGATACTTAAACATCTAATACTTAGAATAAGGCCATTATTTATTTTCTGGAGCTGTCAAGCCAGCAAGAGTGTTATTGTCCCTTTAAGTATTAAGAAACATGTTGTACAGCAAAGATTTATCAACAAATATGATCTCTATACTCATTGGACCTCCGGGGCACTTCCCAATGTGCCCACGCGTTAAGGCGTTCCCTGCGAATACCAATGTTCCGAAATCCTTGCAAGGACATAAGAATTGGATATTGAGGTTTATATGTGTACCTGTGAAATCATTTATTTATTTATTTATTTATTTATTTATTGTGATTATAAATTAATCAGTTTGTATGTTCACATTTGCATAAACGACATGGGAGCAAGATATTCATAAAAACCGAGTAACCAAAGATTCCAAATACGTGCAAGGACACAACAATGTGGACAACAATGTGGATGCACGTACCGGTCGAAGCTTATATTTATTTATTTATGGTTCTTATAAATTAAATAATTTTTATCTTCACATCAGCATAAACAGCATAAGAACACATAAGAAAGGCTTTCATTTATATCCGAGCCTTTACAACCTTCAAAGAAGCCTTTACAGCGGGAATTAGATGTAAGAGTAGGTCGTAGTGTCGCCGTCCGGGCAAAATGTCCACAACACACTATCGGAGCAGAACAGTGGGCCTTGGAGGTTAAACCCCATTTCCTTTGTTATTATAATATATATATATTTAAGCCATGACGTATCTTATGCTAATTAAACTTTTCTGGTCACCTTTAGATTTTCAGAAGTAACTGTATTGGTTCATTTTATTGTTTTAATAATGTTGTGGTTTTCAAGAGAGCCACCTTATTTAGACGGTTGGGGATCATTGTTTCCCTCGGGGTAAGTATTGGTACAGATTAGAAAAACTTGTATCTTATTTGTAATTTGAAATTGGATTGGGGAATATGATGGGCCTATGTTGACCCCTTTCTATGTTCTTAAAAGTTCTAAGAACATGAGGTAAAAAGATTCTAAACCACCATACTTTTATTGATGTCTATGTACCCAATAACATTCACTCTGTCACAAATGAGGCACTGATCATAAAAACACATTTTTTCGTTGGAGGTAGAACAATTACCTGGACATCAGTGACGAAATCCTGGACTGTCCTGCTTCCAAAATGGTCGGGTGTGTGTTCTCACAAAAAAGTTAGAAATGAGACTTCAAAGAGTTTCAAAGAAACTATTAAGTTGAGATTGTAGTAGGTTTCTCCAGTATCACGATGCTGAATTAATGGTATCTTAAGATAAATGAACGAGATCTAGCCTACTTTATTTTAGTTATGTTGGTGATTCGGCAGCTGCCATAACTGTTTGTGTGTCGCTGTTTGTGTTCCCGTCTCGTAAACCTTCTGTGTTTTGCTGGAAGCAATCAGGTAATTTACAACTACTTGTACATAAATTGGACAGTTATACAAAAGGTACCAAAACAATTACGACATAGGAAATTGGGGAAGGATTAATTTTATCATATAAAGAACGAAATAACATGAAATGGGGTTTAACATCTAGGGTTGTTACACCAAGGCGGCCACACATCATGGAATGCTCTATGGACGACTTTATCATTGACTCCCACCAGAATGAAGTGAAGCTTTTCCTTGTCAGATCCTCCATGCTGCAACACCTTGGGAATCAAGCAGAAAATTCCAACGTATTTCTCTGCCACCACCGGAGTCAAATAGGGGACCACTTGGTTATTGAGCCAGTGCCGTGGCTCCCTGGCAGGACCATCATGTCCTCATACCAACACTTTAATCATATTCCTTGTTATTCCAGATGCCCCTTCTGAATCTGTTCCTGCCATACTGGACTGGAAAACCGTTCATCATAAGTTTCCATGGGGAGTTCTTCTACTCATTGGTGGAGGTTTTGCATTAGCAGATGCAAGTGCTGTATGTATGGTTTCAAGTCATCTTTTATTTATCTCAGTTATAACACATACTGATGAAAGACACGTACTGATGGAAGACACATGGATGGAAAGCAAAATGAAATGAAATGGGTTTAACATCCCACTTTTCTACACCGACTGGGCTAATGAAGACGTGCAACTGTCGTTGCTGCTTTTTCGTACACGCAAGCTTTTACTCGGGACCTCGGTTTTTCGTCCAATCCAAACGAATAGATATTGTCCTTAATTTGTAATTGTCAAAAATATAAAAATATGTATGTCAAGAAGAGCGACTTTAAATATGCTTAGTATTTGTTTTCTTCCAGAAATCGGGTTTGTCGGCATGGATAGGTGATGAGTTAATTGTGTTTAGTAAGTTTGAACCATGGTTAATGAATGTTTTATTGACGATGTTAATAGCAGTAGCTACAGAAGTAACCAGTAATGTCACTACAGCTGCTTTATTTCTACCAATATTAGCTAGCATGGTAAGAATCCATATATTTTAATTTTGTTACGACCTACTGTCAAGGCTTCTTTTAAGGGTTTACATAGCTTTTTTATATTTTGTTTTACTTTTGTATTTTAATATATTTGGCTTAGCAGTTTTAGTTTTTTTTTATTATAAACATCAGTATGTATCTTTTATCAACAATATTTGTTATTCTAGGCAGAAAATATTTCAATGAATCCATTGTACTTAATGTTTCCTGTCATCATAGCAACGTCGTTTGCTTTCATGTTACCAGTAGCAACGCCGCCAAATGCTATTGTGTTTGCAAATGGTTATCTAGAAGTCAAAGATATGGTATGTAATTTAATAACTACGAGTAAATAAGCATTTGTCACTCCATCTCTTAATTTGGTTTCCAATCCGTTTGCATATTGTTAAAACACGTTGGGTGGTCTAGTGGCTTAACGCGTGTAACCGTAAGGCCTGTCATTAATGCGAGTGGAGAGGTTTCGATTCCCCGTTTGTACGTCACCAGGAGGGTCACATGTCCAGTCTAGTTGGTTCTCACTGAGTCCTCCAGAACGTTTTATTGGCTAATCGCTCACAGCAACCACCAGATCCTAGTGTATAGTAAAGCCAAGTAAAACGAAATTTTGAATTATATAAAAACGAAACGAAATAGGATCTGTGTTTTAATCAGATTGGATTTGTTTTAACTTTCTAGTGGACTGGAGGACTTGGCGTGGCTTAGAAATATTTATGTCTTTTTTTAAAGATAAATAGAGTTTAATTTTCTATATTGTAGGTAATGGCAGGATTTGGAATGAATATTATATGCCTGTTTGTATTAGCTATAGCCACTAATACATGGGGAATGGCATATTTTAAATTTGACGTTTTACCACCGGGATTTAATATTACCATGGCAACAGCAGCAACAACACGCGATATATGATGGATGCCGGTGTATGGGATGTTACAATTGTGATGACTTGTATAGCTGGTGGCTTCCAACTAACTACAGATTACACAGAAGAACAATGTACAAAGTGAACCCCCTTCTGCGCACAAAGAACTATCTACTTTGAGTATAGATCTGGGTCCTGAATGGCTGCCATATTGAAATATTAGTGCACTGTTACGCGATCCTAACCACTTATCATACACACAAAGACTAAACAACCATTTTCAATTTAATTAAATATGAAAATGGAAGCGGAATAAATACTTTTTAAACTTCTAGAAGTATACTTAGTGTTTTCGAATACATTTCTAGAAATGGTAATTAAAATGTCGGTCAACTAAAATCCTCGAAATGGTAATTAAAATGTCGGTCCATGGGTCGTCGTTAAAAGTCGATCGCATTTAATAGCGACTGACAAGTTTTCGTGGTTGGGATGACAAAATATGGCTAGCTATTGATTGCTCCATTTGTCGGTTCTGTCTGCCAGGAGTTCATTAGGGAAAACAACAAAATAACTCCTGTTTTAGTAAAACACAAATCGCTTTATTAGAAAAAAAAACGCAGCTACACTGAAGACACATAAATCATACCAAAAAATTCAGCAGTTGAAAAAAGTGAACGTTAAGTTTGAGGGTTAATCTCTAATCAGAACTTAGATTCAGCAACCTGAATATCAGCATCTTGGTTATAATTAACGATAACAAAACATTCATTCTTCTTTATAACATGAAAACAATGATATTCACAGTGTATCATTCTCATATTACCCGGTAGTTCATCATTAACAACTGTATAACACATGCTATTAACCCTTTGCAGCTGCCCATAGGTTTTAACAACCCAATATATCAGCTATCACAGAGTTGCTTGCTTCATTTAACTCAAGAGGATCATCAATAAGGCACGGTATTATTGCATAAGAAATATTCTTAAAAAGGCATTAAAACTACCGAGTAATATTTTAGCTTCGATTCCATGAAAACGTATCATTTTTGTTAATGTATTTGTTTCAATAAAAACCGAAGCTTGGCCGGACTTTCTTTGGCTGATATCCATAGTGTGCGACCTGAGTTCGTCATAAAAGATTATCCATCGCGATTTCAAGCTTAATTCAAAATATCTACAGATACTACAATCAAAAGCTGTACCACCTTTTTTAAAGACAATAATTAATTAAATATCTTTAAGAATAATTATTAACTGGATAAGATTATTTATATATAAACCATGCATTCAAAATATTAAAAATGTATCATAACATCCGCGGCATCGGATCGGGGAAACTTATTTTCAAACTCGACACTTAGCCTGAATTACTTCCCTTTGAAAATGGATTCGCTTTCAAATTTTGAATTTCACTACGAAGAGACACAGGATATTATTCTATGGAAAACAATTACTGTTTATTACTGAACGACGTTTCGACTAGTTTCAGCGATAAGCAGTTATTGTATTCCATAGAACTGTGACCTGCGCATTTCAAGTTTAATTACTAAATGTCATTCGAAACCATTATTCCGGAAGTTGAGTGTGTAAAACGAATTAATTTAAAAAGAAGTCTCCTTGCACCAATACCAGATTTTTTTTTTCAAATGTCAGTTATAACAAAATAAAACCTAAAACTACACTAGATAAAATATGTACATATGGGATTAAATATTATATTAATACAATTTGTTGTTAGTTATACAATAAATGAACATGTTTTCCTATTTATATAATTTATGATGGTGTATACAAACTTATGTTATTATTTACGCTAAACCTAATTTTCAAAGAACCGAAAAAAAAATCCAAGGAAAAATATACAGGGTTCAAAAATTAAACGACAAAAGGAAAAATAATCAAATTAAAATTAAATCTTAATTTTATTCGTTTATATTTTCGGTTAAATAAAGGATCGAGAATATTTCCGAAACGAAATTAATATTTAATGATGATTTAATTGAAGGCAGTACAGCAGTCGGACACAACAAAGAATTCAAATTGAAAGTAGAAACTGTACAAACACAGTGAATAGAATTATCAACAACACATATAAAATATCTAGGACCATATATGTACACACAGTGGCTTTCTTGCACAACAGTGTCACTACTACTTAGCAACCACGTGATGAAGTTCTAAAAATGTCTGCGATTGTTAAATTCTTGATTGCTTTCTTCTGAATGTTGTAAATACATGAGATTATAATATATATATATATTGCATTTTAGATACAAAGGTACATTATAAAATGTATATTTATTCAAGTTATTCAAATATACTATGTAATAAATATTTAGCACGTGACGTGATATCGAAGTCCCTTAATCATTCTACATATTACTGGCCCTTGTTCCCCCTTACGCCCTCAATAAAAAGAAGTGACACGTGGAAATAGATAATGATGATGTAACAAGTAACGGCATAAGGGGCACAAGAGCGACCGGATATTCCATTTAGCAATCACGTTCTGCAAGGAGTCACAAAATTAATCAATACTAAAAATAGCTAATTGTACCACGCCTCTACCTTAGCGATAAAACAAACATAAAGACTACTTGAACGAAAGACAACAAAATGACTGAAGTAACTGGCATGGATGCTGCATCTGCAAAAAAAAGGGTATCAACATTAATATAATGTCAATTAAAGACACAATGTAGACGGGCATACGCCATATAGTATGCTATGAGGGAAATTTTTCCCGGACAGCGGCACTATGGCCTACTCTTATATCGAATTCCAATTATCAAGGGATAAACTACTAGAAGGTTTTATTACTCAACAAATACCTTCTCGAAGTATGTAATAAAATCTAATCGGGTGGGGTTTTCGCCACATCGGACGGACTAGGCGTTGCTCGTAGCCAGACCCCCCCCCCCGTCCTCCTGTACGACTGACAAGGGAGAAACCATGCTGAAAATGTGAGTTAATGTGGTTTCCGTCCATAACACACAAAGATCTTCGGTTAAATCAACAGAAACCAATGTAAACTTCAAACGGCCATATTCTAAGTTCATATTAGCTATTTAATTAATTTTGGAATCAAATTGGGTATTTTTATTTGAGGTAATTTGTAGTGGTATGGTCTTAAACTTTATATTTAAATTTTACACTGCGCAACTGTCGCTCCCCATTGTTGTTTTAAAGTAATATATAATTTGACTTACTTCCACCGGTTTCTTGACTTTCACGAGGAATAACTTCATCTTTAACTCCAGCTGAAACACATATATAATTTAATAAACTACTCTGTAACTATTCATGACATAACACAACACAAGGTATATATGGATGTAACTACAGAATTAATTACCCTGTAACTGCATTTATAAACCTGTCACGGTAAATCTCTTTGATCTTTGGGGTATATTCTATGTCCGGAATAACTTGAGGTCTGAAACTCGGGGCGGCTTTGGATATATACAGGGGAATTTGGGGTTATTCTTCTGAAAGTTTTTCTTTAAACCTGTAACAGGTTATACTTCCAGGGTAGGTGTTTTTTTCCATAAGAAAACATGATCTAAGGTTTTTCTGGGCTAATGAAGACGGGCATACGCCATACAGTGTGCAATGAGGGGAATTTTACCGGAACAGTGGCACTATAGCCTACTCTTATATCGAATTCCAACTGCCAAGGGATCTTTTACGTTCACGCCAATGTATACATTACATTGCACCACTGACAAGGGGAAACCACGTCTGAAAATCCCGATGAACTTTCTCGGCCAAAGCAGGGATCGAACACACGACTTCAAGGCTAGCGAGGCAATATCTTACCCACCTAGCCACCGTGGCCTGTGGCTCCTCCTCAGTAGTTATAAAAATATAGATAAAAGGCGCCAAATGGAATGCCTACCTTTTGGACATATCTGTAAAGCTTCTGCTGTCAATCTTCTTAGTTCTGTTTCTATGCTTGGCCTTTCTTCGGGTTGACAATTATCTAGAGCGTTGATTGTACAAGCTATTACGTCATGGGTGTAACTGCAATATAAAAAAAGAAACAATGTATTGGGTGTAGGATTAACTGCAACATTTTCATAAAATAGTGGTGGTGTGTGTTAAGGCCCACCAGAAACCCAGAAACAGCCACTTCTGATTTGCGGTCGTGGTGTGAGCGTATGTGGCTTGGAGATAGGGGTCCCTTTTCAACCCCATGGGTTTACGCACACAGGAAAGACCCCAGCGAAGGCAATGAATACCCTAATATAAGAAAACTTCGGTGGAAGCTGAGGTTAAACACTACGAACAACAACAGCACCATTCTCTATACATCTTTGAAATAATATAACCCTAAAACATCTAATGCGAGTCTTAAATTAAAGTCATACAGTTAAAAATACATTATGTACGATTTAGATAAAGAGTTGATCATTCTTGCTATAATAGTTCAAAAATAGATAACGTAAAATGAAATTATTGAAAATTTCATTCAAATTACTTCATTCTGAGCTAAGTTATCACTGTTTGTAGTTTTGACAAGATATGTGCATTGTGGTAACCAGAGCACTGGTATATTCGAGACTTAGCCTCGCTTTTCCATTTTTAAATTAAATTTTTAAATGGCGAATCGTTCTAATCTAGTTAAAATCTCGAGTATCCGATGCCATTGAGAGTTGATTATGGTCTTGTTTTGTTAATAAATGTCTAATTAATAATTTATATAACATTTCAGGCCTAAAGAAAGGCCTGCGGTAGGCAGATTTAGCTCTTGCTTAATGCATGTTTAACTGTTCTAGCAACTTTAGAAAACTAGGTTTGAATTATTCTTCAGCTTGGTCATTATTAACTGTACCGTGAGGAACGACACCCTTCGGTTAATCAGTATTATATCCTAAATTAGAGAACGGACCAAATTAATCCTCCGCTGGATAATTCTATACTCAAAATAGAGATTTAGATCTTTCATAAGAGGGTAATACTTACGGACACCAGACATTAACATTATACATATCTTGTACAGATGTAGATGCATTTAATGGCGAATTACAGGCACGTAAACTTTCACAGGCTACGAATGATGGTCTTTCCATAATAACTACAAAAATAGAAATGAAATGGGGTTTAACATAATATTTTATTTCACCAACCGGACGGTCCGGACGAATGGAGACAGACACACGGCATGTATTGTGCTATAACGGAGAGTTTGCCCGGCGGACAGTGAAGTTTCCGCCTACTCTGACAGGGATTATGTTATGTACACACCAATAGTGCATCTTTAAAGGGCGTAAAACTCTAACTAAATATTGTCCAGAGCCTTCGACATTGCATACACGAACTATTGATCTATTACAATCAATAGTGATGTTGTCTTCTTACCGTCAAAATTATGGGCACTTTATATCCAATATTGAAGACACGGTAAAAAGTTTTAAAACCAGTCAGTACACGCTGGCGTGTGCTCTATGCCCTCGAACGCGATTTGTAACAATGAACTAGACTAAACCGGAAATGTCAAATCGTACTGGACTAACCAGGCGCGAGCAACTGCTATTCAAATCTGACTGCTCGCGTATAAACGTTTTCAAAAATGGATGTTTATATACTCTCCCATTACATTAAAATCTTCGTATTTGGCACATTTTCGTCCATTTTAGTTCCAAAGAATAGAGATTTAGCTCCTTTAAAGTAAGACTTACTATTTGTACAATAATCTGAGTACCATTCACCAACGGTAGCCAGTGTTGTTTCTGTGCCTTCCACATAGTTGGGTATATTACATATACTTAGAGCTCCATCTCCACATCTTAACATATTAGTTAGAACACTGAAATATATACACATCATATCATATAGCACAAATCTGAAATTTCTTTGATTCTGATGGCTCTAAAAGTGTTGTCGAATAAACATTAGATCTCCCTATGATTTAACCACGCATAAATATTACAGTGTACGGTTTTTGTTTTTTTTTGTTTTTGTTTTTCATTTTTGTGTTCAATGATCTTCCCCATCTTAAAAGTTTATTGACGTATCTGGTGTTCTTATGTTTCAAGTCCACAAATAACCCTGAGAAACACTATTTTAGATCTGATATGACAGCAATTATCATTTGATACAAGGGAGGTTGGGAACAGTGTCGGTTATGTATAGGCTTGGCAGACTCTACCGCTTCAAGAATAATGGAACTCTTTCTTATACGCAGTGTCATCATCCTTGGCTCTGTTCGCCTTTCTCTAGTCGTGAGCGTGGACTTTGCGAGGAGCCCCATCAATTGCCTACGGTCTCGCTTCATCTAAATCCGACACAGTTCGGGAATCAACGTTAATCCCTTTAAGAGAGAGACATTGGGTTCAACGCCCACTCGGCACAAGCTAGGTCATTTCGGGACTAACATATGGCTCAACTTTATTTCAATGATTCGCATGCGCGCAGGGGTCTTTAGCAGTGGGAGGAAAACGGAGGACCAGGAAAAAAATCCACATGGTTTGACAGGCGACCCTATTCCTTGTCAGGTACAACCAGGCCAGTTGACTCAATGACAGACCTTATGATACAACGCGCATGTGCTAACCATTCGGCATCCAACTCGCCTTTAATCCATCCCTTTAAATTACGTTTTGTAAATATTTGTATATAAATGTAACATACTTGCAGGCCGAATTGGCATCATTGAGCGTAGGTGAATAGTTATCAGTAAAGTCCTTGGTACACATTTGTAACTGGGTACAGGCTGCATATGGTTTTAGGTTATTATCGACAATAATCTCGTTTTCTGAAACTATAAAATATAGCATAGGTCAGACAATAATTGTACAATTATTATGCAATTACAAAATTATATATAATGCCTAAGTTAAAACATTCCAAAATGAGCAATTAAATAAACACGTATTATCTATCTTATGGTATATTGTATACAAATAAACGGATTCGTAAGCAGAGCCGGATAACCTTACTGGTGGGAGGGACAAGTCAGTCGACATATTTTTATCAGTGGCTTGAATTGTATGATGTTAGAATCGTTAAATATGCGAAATCGCCGCTGTCTGGGCAAAATTCTTACCACACATTGCACACGTAACCATTAAAATGACAATTGCAATATGTTAAACTGTTTCAATGGCATTTAGTAATTGAACTAGAGCATACAGGTCACAATTCTATGGAATACAATTACTGCTTTGATGAGGTTTTGATAATGACAACATCCCTCATCAAATCGTTGTAAATACTCCACAACAATCTATTCTTTTACCATTTGTATTTATTTCAGTGAAAGGGGTCGTTGATAACATTTCATCAATTTTCATTTTCTTGCAACGTTTGTATTATTAAAACCCACTAATCACTGTGTATACTCCACAACAACTTATCCATTAATCAATTAGTCAATTTTTTAGGTTAATTGGTATTATTACTTATTAGCGTACAATTAAATCAGATTACCATTAGGTACACGTAATTAAGTTACATCCCTGGTTTGTCATCATTAACTTAGCATTGTGGTGTACATGTATATATTGTCCTGTCATATTTTCATTTTTATCATAGCTTGATAATGACTAGAGAAGCCTAGTCGAAACGTCGCTCAGTAAAAAGCAGTAATTGTATTCCATAGAATTGTGACCTGTATGCAATATGTTAGTTTCAAATTGGCTGACGTATTCTGTTGACGAGACTTTAATATCCATTACATTACGTTAAGGCTGCATTATGTTAGATCAGCGATTCTCAACCAGTGTGCCGTGCCGCAGCACACAGGTGTGTCGCGAAATATTCCTAAGTGTGCCGCGAAATTTTGAACGGCACACTTAGAAAATGCGAAAAACCACTGTCTGTGTCTACGGTTGTATGCCGTTTATGACTTGCCATGTTTTGATTTAGCAAAATTCAAATATTTTTCATACATATTTAGCCATGTGTGCCTCTATTTTTTCATGTGTTCCAAGATGTGCCGTTGGCAAAAAAAGGGTTAAGAACCACTGGCGGTTCTTGACGAGACTTTAATCTCCATTACATTACATTAAAGATGCTAGATTTAGATAAAGAGCTGGCGGTTGTTGATTTAATAGTTTAAAAATAGATAATGAGAAATGTATATAATGAACATTTCAGTCCAATTATTTTAGTCTGAGCGAAGTTATGAGTGTTGGCCAAAATTTATCGTAGCAACGCTACTTGACAATCGAGACTAAGTCTCAAATATCTATTTTATGGTTAGTTAAATTCTTAAAAGGCCGCGTTGTTCTGATCTACCTAATATCGGGGCCAGTCGATGATCTAGAGAGTTGGTAATTGGCTAGTCATGTTAATAACGGTTTAAATAAAAATATATATAGTACTTGAAGCCAGAAAGGGAGCTGCAGTAGGCAGATTTAGGTCTTACATAATGCATCTTTAATTTGAATAAAACATCAGAAACTCACCTCTACAGTCTTCCATTAAACTAGTTTGTGTATGTTCAATAGTGTCCAGTATTTCATCGGTCATGAGACCTCTACATTCGTCAATATATCTATTAACACAATTTGAATATTCCTGGACAGCTCTGAAATAAAAACATACACTTTATTAAAACTCTGCCCAGACAAACATCAAGATTTATGTACTCCTAAGTATTGTTTTTGCTGGCGTTCTTTTGTATATATTTTTCATGTTGGTTTTTGGTGTGCTCGAATGATTCTGTTGGGGTGGGGTTTTGTGTATCTATTTGAGAGAGAAATGAAAAGAAATGAAATGGCGTTTAACGTCCTACTGTTCTGCCGTACGCCGGATTGGGATCTTTTACGTGCACGCCATTGTGTACACGGGACCTCGGTTTTCGTCCCAAAAGAACGACTAGACATCTGTATATGGGATTTAACGTAAACGATGTAACAATTAATAGGATCCACAGTGGAATAATATTACTTACAGGCATTTAGCAACTTTGTCACTGCTATCTTCGGCTGGTCGCATCTGTCCCAAATAATTTCCACAGCTTGACATTTTTTCCTGGCACATTGCCCTCTCTACAAAAATACCAAAAACATATCGTTAGTAAAATAGACAACTGACAAAATCTCTATATTATGATAATTCATTTAGCTTAAGATATTACTGTTATAAATATTCGATAAATCATCAAATGTCGGGCTTTAATACCTTAATATAATTCTAAGCCATTATATGCAAATAACATGCTTCTATGTTTATCTTACTTTACGATGCATAATAATAATAATAATAACTATATAATGTACATATATATATATATATATATATATATATAATATATAATAAATGGATATAAACTGAATATATCTATATATATATATATGTAAACAGGGAAACATCACTGGCATATCTATTTGCTTTGCTAATTATTGGTATAGAATTCTGATATTTTCTATAGAATTTGTCTTAATATATTATAAGGATATTAGGCAGGAGAGAATGATAGGACATTTATGATGATCGAAGTAAATTAAGTGTTTGTTTGGGATTTGACTGTTTATCACACTTACGTTTATTTTTACGTTTTTTTCCCTTATTTCCTTTTTTATCAGAAGTTACCACGTGATCTACATTGTTGTCTATTGCCATGGACTCTGTTGTCATGTCATCAGTATCCATTGTTTCGGTTACCATGGCGTCGATTTCCATGGTTTCGGTTGTCATGGGTAAAATTTCTAGGGGTTCAGATGTAACCGCAACCTCACTAACGACAACTGATTCGTCAGTTGTCAAATCGACGACCGATTCTTCCACGTCCATTTTTGATGTCATTTTTGATGCGGTTGTATTTTCTAGAAAATGTGAGTAAAAATCATTTCTTTTCTTAATTCGATTGTTACAAACTGAAAGTGGTTTGTTAGTGGTTAATCGGGGTGTCACGAAGCGAATATTTTAAGAAGTGCAGTTTACAAGGGAAATGAAACTATACCGTTAATTAATGAGAAAATCTTTATTTACAAGAAGCTGTTAATAACGAATGATCTGATAGTAATGCTTAACATAAAATTAAAGAAAAGATGCATGAATGCATGTGCATTTTCCCTTCCTTGTGTTTTGAGAGTTTTTGAATTTAATATTTTGGTCAGAAAAAAAGGGCAATATGAAGAGAAAAGAGTGCACATAAAACAGATACACAATATATAACAACCATTTAAGAGACATAGAAAGCTTTTAGGGTGTATGTGCCTTGAGAGTTTTATCGATATAAAGCTACCGTACAACAGAAAGGCAAGCAGTGTACAATGATCAAAACCTATGCTGGAATGATTCTAAGTTTACTCTATTAATCTGAACATTTCAGAATGAATTATTATATTTCGCTTTTGTCTTTTAATGATGCCTAAAATTAGCTAACATTTTGAAATATTGGTAAAGATAAAATAGGATTTTAAATGTCGCTAGATATTTTGAATATTCCGATAAATAACGATTACCATATATCATAGTATATTTAAAAAAAATAATAAACAGTTTCACGAAAATATGAGTATAAATTGTTTGTCACCCCCTATTGTCTGGGTATAATGATATTAAAATTAGCTAACTTGTCTAAAGACTTATAACGGTCAATTAAGATTTTTAAAAATCGAATATATCGACAGATATTTTGTATGGTTATATACCATATATTTTTTAAAAACTAAAATAAACCAATTCACGAAAGTATAAATTGTTTCTTTGGCTTAAATTCTATCAATATTTGTATTTATAAGCTTAATAAATGTTGTCTTTATATAATTAAGTTTCGGTTAGTAAGATTCCTTAATTATTAACTCTTTGAAACTCTAGAGTCTTAGATGAAAAAAAATAATAATCCGCTTAATTCTAATAGTGTAGTCTGAGATACAAATTAACCATGCGCATGCGATGATGTATGCAACATAAGTAAAAATAGAGGACTAAAACCCATGCACTATAAGAAAATATGACATCATTCTAAATAAGTATGTTTTAATAAAATAAAAAAATAAAAATAAATAAACAGAGGTAAAAAAAGACAACATAATGTATAAATAAACAAAAAATAAAACATAATAAACAAAAACAATAAAGAAGCGGAGCTGAAAGCAGGAGCTGCGTGTTCGGCGCTCTTTTTTTAGCCAAGGTATACGGATTGTGTCCCTTGATTCTTGCTCTATTACTTTATCAACTACAATATCTTTTTCATTCCAAATTAAACCCAAAGAGCAAAATTTAAGTTGGTCACAATAAGTATACCTGGAAAATGCACATCTAACATGGTTCACATTGACACAGCAGGGAATGGGTATGTTTAATATGTACAACACATATACCTTAACGATGATTCTTAAATTACATTACTTTTATACAAATATAACATCTAAAATTTACACCTTAGAAAAATTGTCTATAATTAAATCTTTAAATTTATTTAATATAAATGAGAAATATGAATGGATTGAACTATTAAGCTGAAGACGAGTCGATGAAGCTGGATTGGATGAACTACCTGATTCCATGGCTTCTCCGGTTTCTAATTCCACTCCAATCTCATTACCCATAATGGTCTCTGTTGTCAAATATTCTTCCATTATTTCTGGTAACGCAGTAGTATATTCTACTGCGTGTGTGTGGCTACCGTCAGTTGTCTTATATGTCTCTTTTTCCGGTTCCGATTCGGGTGTCGGTTCCGGTTCCGGTTTAGGCTCGGGTTCTGGTTCCGGTTCTGTTGTAACAGCGGGTTCTGCATCTACTTCAACTTCCGGTTCACTTGTGGTTTCTGGGTATGTTGGAACTACATCCGGAATAACGACTACTGTTCAAGGATCAAGATATAAAGACAGTGTTAAGGGAGAGAAAAAAGTCTAAATGTGTTTTTTCACAAAATATACAAAAACTGTTGGGGATTTTTTTTTACATTATGAGTTTTATTGGTAAGAGTGATGATAAGTACAGTGCTTAGGCCAACTACTGCACATTGAAAAAAAACAACACATAACAAAACAAGGTGATAAACGGTTTAGTCTGAGTTTTATACAGTGTTTTGGAGCGGGAACCGAGTATGACGTCATCGTAGCCATCTTGGAATTGTGACGACATGTCAAGTACTTAAAAAGGTTTAGTCAGGGATTTAAAACAGACATATGTATCAGATTTATCCTTGTGATAACGATCACATTTCCTTTCCGGGTATGTAAATTGTCTTATTGTTATGGTGGCTCTACACTAACTCTCCAGACACTAACCGTAAGTGATCAAGGACAGGTCTGGTGTTCGCGCGACACATGCAAATCAACGGACAGCTACATATTCTAGAACAAAAGATTTTGAACCCTTGAGCCCCGTCAGTCGCAATCAACGCAAGCCATCGTTTATCGACGAATGCGAGATGAATATTAATGTATTAGCAAGGAGGTAACTAAGACGGTTACCGCGCCTTGACCCTCACTCTAACCGTAACCCTGGCCCTATCTTACAACTGTCAATCAATTGGAATGAATATGTAAACCGTCTGTGGAGGGCAATCTCCTGCCTAACCTTGAGGGATGCGATAGTGACTTCTCGTTTATCATTTTTAAGCCATGACATAAATACAAGCAATCTATTATTAAAAATCCCATCAGGCTTCGTATAGGGGCTCGTGGGTGTGATTTTATGTATACGATTTAACTAATGGGGGATCCAACAATTCTTGACCCATGTTATTTATTATCCAGTCGCATTAAGCCATGTGGTCTTAATCCACAGGTTGACGCATATTAGGTTAACAGCTGACACCAGCTTTAAATATTAAAAACGATTCTGATACCATATTTGTGATAGAGCTGATCTGATAGAACTTTCGATCATTGGAACCAAAACATGGCAATTCAGTTATCCAAAATAGTGTTTATTTAAAATTGATCCAAAGCCCACTATCAGTAGAGTTAGTGTAGTCCACCGTTAGAAGTCCAGAATCCAAACAGTCAGTAAATCTAATTCAAGTTTATAAAAAATGTATAGCCAATACCTCAATGTCAGTCATTATCACCTTGCTTTATCAAAAAACAACAAGAACCAGTACAAAAAAAAAGAAAATGCTAAAACAAATTTAGTTCACTCTCTATTAAAGGGGGTCTCTTAAAATGGGTAGCTGTGTCTAAATTATTGCACTAATAATTTAATTTGAATATGCGCAGTGCAGCGCCATGTGATTAATCGCAACGCTAAAGAGTGCTAAAGAGAAGACGTAACACTTGCTGCAGAAACGCACAAAAGGAGATCTATCCACACAATAACAGCACAACAAGAGAGTTCTATTATAAGTAAGAGTCTATGTATAAATATATATATATACGTATAATTCTATAAATAGTTCTATATATATATATGTGTGTATAAACGAAAACGAAAGAAGAACGTCAATCAACACCACAAAAAACTAATTAGATATTTTTTTTTAATTTAAAATCTCCTTTTGGATAGAACGGCTAGTATATAACTTCCGCAATTTGGTGTAACCGGGGCAAGGGATTTCATAAAGTCTTTAGGTGGAAAGTTAAAGTAATCATTCAAACAAGTAGTTGGACATTAACAGTATAAAAATACCATGCAAAAATTAAAACAAAGGTCGCAAATCCCAACAACATATTATGTGTATTTTCTTAGGGTGAAATGTGCTTTGAGCTATTCATTTGGATGTGGCTCATGTCACTATTGGAGCACCCAAAGGTTTACCAGCTAGTAGCTCGCCATGAACTCCTTCATCGGTATATATATATTTGAGCTATTCATTTGGATGTGGTTCATGTCACTATTGGAGCATCCAAAGGTTTACCAGCTAGTAGCCCGCCAAGAACTCCTTCATCGATATCTATATTTGTAATTATGTGTATTTCTTGAAAGGTTTGGGGGATGAAATATTGTTTGAGCTATTAATTTAGAGGTAGGTCACTTCAATATTGAAGCAATCTAAGCTGTAACATCAAGAACACCATCATATATATAAGTTAGTTTGGAGGTCTCCGTTTTGTTTATCATCAGAACACTACACATTCTAGTATGTATGTATTATATATTTGGAGTTATTTTGAACGTACGTAAAGTGTGGCAAAATCGCAATTTTCTTATATATCTTCTTGGATCCACCTCTGGATGTAGTACCGATAATCAAATTTGTATTAACAACTGGACCGTTTTAGCTCAAGTCTTGTCGGTGTCGTTTCGTCTGGGAATTAAAAAACTTATAAATGTCTAAATAAACTACATAGTATGTGTTGAGATTTATAACGACTTGTATTCGAGTTTAGACGACTCACCTCCACCAGTGGCTTCTTCTACAGTTAATGTAGCAGTATTACTAACTCTCCGACCAGCAACATTTTCAGCAACACAAGCATAATCACCAGTGTTTTCCCTAGTTGGGTTTATCAACACCAAAGAGTTATCTGGTGGCATCACAATATTGGCAATAGCATCCATGTCAATTCTGACTCCATTAAATGTCCAGTATACCTGAAGTATTATAAAACTTCGATATTCAATTCCATCTCGCCCTAATGTTTGCTCAAATTAATCACCAAATGAATTTCTGTAGACAACATATTAAATTTACACCTAGGAACAATTTGGTCACTATTAACAGTATTGAATATTGCAACAATACTATACCGGATATTACCGGAAAACACCGGTAATCACCGGAAAAAAACCCAGAAAACTACGGAAAACACCAGAAAACTACCGGAAAACACCATGTTATACTGAATACCGGAAAACACCGGAAAAACATTAAATACCGAAAAACGCACTAAATACCGGAGAACACTCTAAATAGGTAACCCGGTGTTTTTCGGTGTTTTTCCGGTATATAGTATAGTCCGAATATTGTACATAAGGAAATACGAATTTTAATGCAAAGGCGCAGATGTAAAATTACCCAGTACTTACCTTGGCAGCTGGAACGGCTTCTGGTGGAGTACACGATAGGGCTGCCATTACACCAGCCATGCTTTTTGTGTTTTCTGGGTTCTTCTGGAATCGTCTCTTTAGGTCTGAAATTTAACCAAACACTAACATGACTTAAAATTTACGTTGTAGATTTATATACATTTATTATTCAGGGATGGGATCTGTTGACGTAGGCTGCTAGACAATCAAACACACCGCTAGACTGACCAAGTCGTCCTAACTCGAGATAAAGTTTGTCGCGCCGGGGTTAAAAGTTTATCTTGATTGTCCAGCTTCATCATGGGAAATAAATCTGTTACCAATTATCCAAAATCAATAGGATGCTTCCTCTCACTGACATAAATAATTTTAGCAAGGTGTGTAAATAATTATCGGCATCCAGAGAGGGGTGATATAAAAACGTATAAAACGGATGCTTACATGCTAAATTAATGTATCCGGGGTTACTAGAAATAAGTTCTTCAGTTGCAGCTCCATAAGGAAAGTAATGACCATCACATACGCAAGTGTTATCATCAGTAAATCCTTCAGCATCTTCTCTGTTTAAATCCAAGGATACACTAATAACATCTCCTGATTCAACAGCATTGTTTTCATACCGATAATCCGGAACGATGAATCCGCTGCATCTAAATGTGATTCTGTCTACGTTTTTAGCAGCACAGGTAATGGTGATGGACTGGCCCCTGACGATGTAGTACATGCTCTTTGGTTGCTCGGTGAACATTGGGTGGACAGTGTGTCCAATTTCCGTCTCAGGTTCACTAGATGGTTCGATTTCAGATGGTGTATAGTATTCTGGTTCAGCAGTAGAGGCACCATCAACTAAGATCGATTCAGTTATGGGTTCCGTGACGGCAGCTGAAAAACAAGAGCATTTTGTAACACTCTGCAAAGGAGCACTTCATTTGAATTTTAAAACCGTCTTCATTAGCCCAGTTCGGAACAAAACAGTAGGACGTTAAACCCCATTTTATTTTATTACATAATTTTAAAATCACCAACCGCAATAAAGCGCTTCTCATGGCAACAAGATTTCGTCTCCTGCTTGCTGTGCATTTATTAGAGCATTTGCTAACAGTTCTTAATTTGGAGTAAAACATTATCAACACAATAATGTGCTTTTCATATCAATACGATTTTGTTATAGTATTTCTATAAGTCTTGGCTAAAATAGATATCCCGATATCCTATATTATAAATGAAAACACGTAATGTCCCAATATCAAGATAGTATTTTCTATCAGGGCCGTCTTTACACATGGGCACGTTGGGCAGTTGCCCGGTGGCCACAACAGCATAGTGGCCCCTCTAATTTGTTAAATCATTGAGAATGTCTGTCTTTTGGGCGAGGCCACACTGTAAGAAATAATTCTGTTAGAAACCATAAAAAGTTCTGGCAGCTGGTTTACCAGAATTTTTTTTTCTGTTACTTTTATTCTGTTTTTTTTTACAGAGAATATATAGAGAAAAAATTTGGTAAACCAGCTGCCAGAACTTTTTCTGTTGGTTTACAGAATTATTCCCTGTTAGATTAGGGCTTCTGCCAGAAGATTTTCTGTTCTTTAACATAATTATTTGGGTTAAATATAAAACAAAATCATTGTAAATAATAACTTATTTTTTGTAAAGGTAATTTTTCAGTCATGCATGTACAAAAAAATAAAAATGAACAGAAATTAAAAGCAAGAAATCATGAATGGCTTCAAATTTTGTGATTTCTGACGGTCAGGTTTACGACTTTCTGGCGTCTTTTCATCTTCTTGCAAATTTTGTTACCTTCAATACAAATCTGAAATAAAATGATGAAACACATACAGGCCATGAAATCAAAAGGTGTTAACTGGGTAAGTTGCAAAATAAACACGGGTAGCTTTCTTGGCTAATGGTTAATAATCCAGCATCATATTCTCTGAACCATCGCGTTTCTTACACTTTAATATTGTTTACATGGCCGATTTCAAATTCACAATACAACATACATTTGCATGGCCACTATGTGTATTAATCATAGATTCTAAACATAAAAAAGCAGCAAACTGAACAGACAGTACAGAGGCTGTGTTTTTAAACCCAATAACATACTCAGTATCTACCTATGCTGTAGATTTGCCTTCACACATACATATTATAAGGAAGACTTACCTTCACATCTTATTGTTGGTTTCCTCCTGTTCATTATTCTGCATGGTCAGCACACATTCACATTCAAACATTAACCGCCATAAGTTAAGTCTGCGACGCGCATGCATTAACCGAATCCAAGAGAATAACTATGTGATTTAACAGAACAGTGCCGTTAATATACAAGTTATTCTGGAATATTACAGGTCTTTTGATTAATGATACGATTTATATTGTTAATAAACAGTTTCTATCAGCTTATATACTGAAAAGTGTGTAAAAATACGTAAAAATACGAATTTTTTTACCTCAAATCACAGATATTTCTGTGACAATACGGATAATTCCCTTCAAATAACAAAAAATAGGGATTTTAAAAACAGATATTTTTTACAGTGTAGCACAATGTCGAAGATTCTTAGTAATTCTAATAATAAAGGTGATTAATTTAAGGAGAATTTAAGGAACGACGAACGGTTCATGCATTTCAAAACATTTCAACGTCATCAACCGCAATAACTTTCTTCCCATATCAACAAATCTTGTATAGTATTAGTATTTCCATTTGCTAACAATCTGCATATATTTCTTAAATTGCTAAAATTCCTATATCCAAAATTAGGGCAATAGTACGTAGATGCTATTCGAATAGCAAGGTACTATTGGATGCGAGTCAAAACATTATGGCGGCTGATACACTTTGTTATTACTGTAATATATAGTCAAGCAGGAGTAAGAAGTTTTATTTTAATTCCTTCAAGTGCCTGTGAATTTTCATACACTTCAAACCCCATTTATATTTATTACTCCAATATCAAGAAAAGTAGGACGCCAAACTCCATTTTATTTAATACCCAGACAGAATACGACAAACATATCTTACCGAATGTTGTTAAGGCAGCAGGTGGGGTTTGCCTAGTACCAGCTGTGTTTGTAGCAACACAGACATATCGACCAACATATCGTTGGCTCATATCATTAATAATTAAACTTCCGGTTATACTGATCTCAATATTCCTATCACGAGATGTATCAACTCTCACACCATCCTTTAACCAAGATACCTGTAACAGAAGCATGGCAAGGAGTAAGACGCTAGCTCGCTAAACAAATGGTATTTGGTTCCCTTCCGGTGTTTTGGCCGAGAATGATTCTCAGGATTTTCCATTTCCAGAGTGATTTCCCCTTGTCGATGGTGCAGGACGGATGGCCTGTCTAGTCGTTCGGATGGGGACGGAAACAACCAGATCCCGTGTGCGTAAAAAGACCCTGTCCGGGTGAAGTGTTCTTCACAGCATACTGTGTGGTGTACCCCCCCCCCCCCACACCCTTCTTGTATAGTCCAGCCAGGGGCAGAAAAGTAAAACGTTAAACTTCATTCCACTTGTTATGTCTGAATCACAGAGCACTGTTCAGTTCCAATATTATTTACCTTGCAAATATAATAATTCTAAAATCTTTAAAATCAGAACGACCGACATGTTCGCTCTAAAACTGTACAAGAAACGTATTTCTTATCTTATTTAACTCTGTCTTTATTAGCCCAGTCGGAGCAGAAGAGTGGGACGTTAAATCCTATTTCATTAGAGCTGCACGAAAGAGAAGTAGTTTCTCGTGCTCCAGAAAAGATAAACCTGTTCAGTATTGTTCACGAGGTGAAACCAAGGCCGAATCGACATCCTCTGGGCCAAAGTCCAACCAAGAAAGTCAGTAGCCTAGTGATTTAAATACAAAAGTATAACAAACTATTTAGAGCGGAACCACGGTGGATCCGGCGAGTATAGTATCCAGAAGGTCCGGGTTCGATCTCGGTCTTGGTCGAGTAAATCTTACGAGTTTATAAAACCTCGTTTCTCGTTATGGTTTTAGAATCTGACATGGAAGCGTCTAGTCGTTTGGATAGGACGAAAAGTCTAGATTCCGTGTATACTATTGGCATTACGCTATAGATCTTCTGATAGTTGAAAAAAGGATCTAAAAGCAAGCCATATTATCGCCCTCTCAGCGTATTGCATAAAATAGATGACATGTATCGGTCAGCAAATGATCTCCACCCAAACAAATACAAGAAAAACTACCTCAGGTTCAGGACCTCCGAATGGTGGTGTGCACATGAGTTCTGCTGGTACTCCCATTTGAACCTGTGTGTCCACTGGTTCCATGGCGAATTCGTCTTCAATAACTGGAAGATTTTCAAAGTAAACATGTTTATTTCTGATGTTTCATGCAGCATAAATGCAAATCAGCAAGTTCTATCCCAACACATTATAAAACAAAGGACAGTGTTTTGGGATTCTATATTTCTATCAGTTATTAAGGATACTGGTATCGACCCATGTTAGATACATGAAAACAAGATCAATATCTCTAAATGGGACAGAAATATAGAAAAATATTAGATAGAACTAGCTAATTCTCGGTCAACGGGTTATTACACGTCTTATCTCAACCAATTTATTTGTTTTTTGTGACCGAAGGTATAATTGTGATGCAGTAATTATGGCAATATTTTAAACTAAGAAAGGTCATCGAAGACGGACGGAACAGGTAAGCGGGTCAAACAAGTTAAGCCAAATAGGTGTTATTTGACTTACAAGCTCTCTCTACTTTTGCTTCAGGACTTTCTTCCCTCTCCCAATTACCACTAACAGTATACCACATTGTACAAATACAAGCATATTCTTCACTCTTCAGATCATCAGCGGTAACCTAAAACGACAGAATTTCATAAAATTCTAGAGCAGTGATTCTCAACCAGTGTGCCGCGGCACACCGAAATTTTGAACGTTGCACTAAGAAAACATGACAAAACACGTGATTCCAATTGAGTATTCACTGATAAGTTCATAGCTGTGATTTTTCTTCATTTAGTTTGAGTCATTCTATGTGTCTATGACTAGTCTCTGACTTACCATGTTTTTATTTCGCAAAATTCAGATATTTTTCATATATATTTAGCCAGTTGTGCCGCTATCTTTTCATGTGTTCCAAGGTGTAGCGTTGTCATAAAGACGTTGGGAAGCACTGTTCTAGAGACTGGGCAATATGTTTACTTGAGCTCCTGTGGTTGAGCTTGCTTAGGCTGTAGGTAAACCTGGCACTGATTATAATAATAACACTTACTGTAATAGTTGCTTCAATGTCAAATTTTCCTACAGCTCTGTTGTACGTCTGTTTGCTTTCAATTTCTTTTGGGTCGTAACGACGTCTGTTACATCTGAAGGTGACCATATCAGCGTTTTTAACACCACAAGTAATAGGCACATCCCTGCCTTGAGCCATATAATATACAGGTTCTAGAGGAGTGCTGAAGTAAGCTTCCCCGGGAGCTCTTCCGGGAGTTGTTGGTTCTGGTCTAGCAACAGGTCTAGTTGGTGGTGGTCGGGTAACCTCGACTCTTGGTTTAACAAAACCATCTGAAATATCAAAGGGGTAACTTAATGCCTGGTAATCATTCAAAGCGAACCCTTGGTACTAAGGTCAAAGAAAGGCTTACTTGGTGGGTCAAAATCCTATTTACTACTTGGTGGGTCAAAATCCTATTTACTAATTTTAGTCACACGATAATTATAATATCATTTCAATGTGGTCCCTTGGGGATAAAATCAAAGAAGAAACAAATTACGTGGTGAATCAAGATTCAATTTACTAGCTTTAGTTTAAACTTACACACCCTCGGTTACATCTCACCACTGGCTTTATATATATGGACCTACAGTTTCAACGAAGACAGATTGTCATCAACGTATAAATCGATAATTTTAAGGCTCGTTCGATCTATCAGTAGTTTATCTCGTCATTATTCAAGTCATCATCCGGTTTCCTCCCACTGCTAAAGACCCCTACGCGCAAGCGAATTATGTAAATAAAATTAAACCATATGTTAGTCCCGAAATGACCTAGTTTGTGTCGAGTGGACGTTAAACCCCATTTCTCTCTCTCTCTCTTCAAGTCATCAAGGGGGGTCCGACGGTGGCTAAGTGGGTAAGGCGCTAGCCTGGAGGTTGGGTGTTCGATCCCTGCATTGGCCGAGAAAGTTCATCCAGATTTTCCGGCGTGGTTCCCCCTTGTCAGTGATGCAGGGCGAAGGGCCTGACAAGGACAGCTGTCTAGTCATTCGGATGAGACGAAAAACCGAGGTCCCGTGTACACATTGGCCTGCACGTAAAAGATCCCTTGACAGTTGAAATTCGATATAAGAGTAGGCCGTAGTGCCGCTGTCCGGGCAAAATTTCCCTCATAGCACACTGTATGGTGTATGCCCGTCTTCATTTGGCCAGTTCGGAGCCTAACAGTAGGACGTTAAACCCCATTTCATTTCATTTCATTTCAGATCATAAGGTTTGTCATTGAGTCCAGTGGTGTGGCTTCGATTTACCGCTTGTGCATGACAAGAAATGCGGCCAGTCCAACCTCGTGGGTTTTATCCGGGTCCTCCAGATCCCCCCACATCAATATGTCCACTATGGTTAGGTGGTGTTGCGATTCATAATACTGCGAACAAATAGCTTGTATCGAATTACCTTCTACTGTAAGTCTAGCGTTTCCACTGTATCTAACACCAGCTACATTGGAAGCCGAGCACTGGTAATCACCACCATTACTTATAGATGCAGATTCAATAGTGAGACTACCATCTTCATCTACTACATAATAACCACTTCTAGTATCAATTTCCTCACCGTTAAAATACCATCTAATCTACAAACAAAACAAACAATAAACGTTGAAGACTTTTTCTACAGAGTATATGTACCGCGGGCATACTATGAATAGGTAACCGAGTGTAACGTCATCGCAGGGATCGTGGAATTTCACTCCGTCAATCGATGCACAAATATTGTCAACGAAACCACCAAGCCAAGATTCTGGTCGACCGTAAATCAATTGGCGGAGGGTTGGGTGTTTCGAAGAACAAGAGGAATGGCTAGCGTTTTGGGACCAGTACCTGACCCAAAAAACAAAGGCATCTCAACAGAGACATGAGCTCAGTGATGGGTAAGCTTCGCGTCATGGGTGTACAGTACTTGCAACCCTTTGGGTTTTCATCAGCTTCTCAAATAGAAAAAAATTACCTGGTTTCTCAGTTAAGTATTCAGCGTTATAATCATATTAATGAAACAGTGATATCATTAGTTTTCTAGCCATTACTTACTTCTGCTGGTGGCTTTGATTTTGGTGCTCCACATGCCATGGTAACAGAACCATCAGTACCTACAACTTGACTTTCGGGTTCAGCAACAAATTGTTCACCAAGGACTAAAACATCAAATAGTAAAACACATTAGTATGTATACATCTTGGGGTATTTATGAGCGTTGCAGTTTTTACCATCACCATTAAATGCGAAGGGGTGTACCAATTAAATGCAGAGGAGTGTACCGATTATACCATCACGATTAACTGCAGCGGGGTGATACCGTTTTTACCATCACGATTAACTGCAGAGGAGTGATACCGTTTTTACCATTATGATTAACTGCAAAAGGATGTGTCGTTTTTAGTATCATGATTAACTACAGAGGAATGTACCCTTTTTTACCATCATGACTAACTGCAAAGAATGATACTGGTTTTTTTAGTATCATGATTAACTACAGGGGGTGATACCGTTTTTACCATCATGATTAACTGTATAGAATCGAAATCGTTTTTCACCATCATGACAAACGCAACATATATTATCGTGATAATACCGTTTTTACCACCATGGTGTATAGTGATGATAGACACACAGAAAATTCATAATTATTATTAGAAATGGAGGCTTTAATTGATCATTACTCACGTCATCGATCAATTTATACTTTATTATTTGATTTTGGCCATTATCTCATTGAAGTGCCAGTTTATTTATTTCGGGGACGATCTTGTATTTATTACAAAGCGGTGATATATGGGGTTTAAGTAGGGTGTTGATACTTACAAGCGACTTCAATATAACCCTTCGATGATGGTTTGCTCTTCCAGCCCTGAACACCTGGTTCAGTATACCAAGATATACAGTTGCACGCGTAGCTACCATCAATACCATAGCGTCTTATATCTTCTTCTTTAACAGTGAACGTTGTTTCATAGATGGTACCTCCCTGAGGGTTGGGGAATTCTTGTTTTCTTTGATCTTCGTCACCCAGTCGACGATTGTTACATCTATGATATAGAGGAGTAACGATGTAAATGAAATGAAATGAAATGGGGTTTAACGTCCTACTCTTCTGCTCCGAACTGAGCCATACAGTGTGCTATGAGGGGAAATTTTGACCGGACAGCGGCACTACGGCCTACTATTATACCAAATTCCAACTGTCAACTGATCTTTTACGTGCACGCCAATGTGTACACGGGACCTCGGGTTTTCGTCCCATCCCAACGACTAGAGAGATAGCTGTCCTTGTGAGGCCCGAGTTACGATGTAATTCCAATGGTATTTAGTAAAAGTATAACTGGAATACAGTTACTGCTTATTACTGAGCGACATTACTATTAGGCTACTGTAACAATAAACAATGATTGTATCGCTTGATAAAGATTAGACAAGCCTAGTCGAAACATTGCTAAATAATAAACCAATAGTGGGAAAACTTGTTAGGGGAGGGGCCAAACACAACGTTTTCAAACAAAGCTAGGGTCAAACAAGGATTGTAGGCCCAGGTCAAATGGCGTCCATTAAGCGAAAACGTCACTGGGCGACGCTGCAAGTATAAATAGACCTACAAAGATTATTGATCCTAGAGAGAGCAAAGCCTGTTTAGAGCTTGGGTCAACAGTAAAAAAAATCGATTTCTTATTTCATTTACAGATACAAAAACTCATAATTTTTAAGATGTAAAGGGTCTGGTGGGCCGGATGACAAGGCTTAGCCGTAGTTTGCCCACCACTGTAATAAAAATTAATTGTATTTCATAGAATTGCGTGCTGTGCGTTAAATATTTCAGTTTCTATAAATTAAATGTATCTTAATCTAAGCATAAGGAGCAACGGTGGTACAGCGAATAAGGCGCTGGCTCACTCGCCAGGGAGGTTCTCAATCTAGGCGTTGGATGAGAAAGGAACGTGTGTCCCCCATGTCAGTGGTGCAGGAAAGGTGGGGCTGTCGATAAACAGTGTCTAGTCGTTCGAATGGTAATGAACAGGCTCCTGTGTACACGTCGTCGTGTTCGTAAACTAACTATGGACAATAGTTGCAATTCGAAATAAGAATAGGGGAATTTCCCCCATAGCACACTGCATGGCATATACACGCCGGCATTAGACCGGCGGGGGGGGGGGGGCCGACACGGAAGCTAAGTGAGTAAGACGCTGGCTCGTTATTCTGGAGGTCGCGGGTTCAAACCCGGTGTTCGCCGAGAAAGCCTATCGGAATTTTCCCGTGTGGTTTCCCCTTGTCAGTGGTGCAGGACTGGTGGGACGAAACACATTGGCGTGCACGTAAAAGATCCCTTGGCAGTTGGAATTCCATATAATAGTAGGCCGTCTAGCCGCTGGCCGGGCAAAATTTCCTCATAAAATATTGTATGGCGTATGCCCGTCTCACTGAAATTAGGAATAATTGCTAAGTATTTACAAGCATCGACTCGGTCTTTTATTGGTTTGGGGGCTTTGCTTTTGTTTTTTAAAATTGTTAATATATTCATACCTGACAGTTAAAATCTTGGCTCCATTGACCCGACACGTGATGTCAACGGGTTCATCAGCAGTGACGTAATATAAAGAATCGGGTGATTTTTCATAGATTGGACCATCTTCTAAAGGAGCATCAGAAGCTTCAAGTCGATCTTCCTCAGTAGAATCTAATAAGAAAGAGGACATGTATAGTCCAAGTCCAGTTATTTCCCTACGAACTAAGAAGAAAGTTTGTTAAGCTAATTTGTATGATTGCCATTCCTGTAAACGGAATAAATGTAAGCTATAATGAATCTCTAGATCCCTAAAGTGCAATGCTGTTTTTGTTTTAGTGTTTTTCTCGTGGGTTTTCTCCGGGTCCTCCGGTTTCCTCCCACTGCTAAAGACCCCTACGCGCAAGCGAATTATTGAAATAAAATTTAACCATATGTTAGTCCCGAAATGACCTAGTTTGAGTCGATTGGACGTTAAACCCCATTTCTCTCTCTCTCTCTTCCTTTTGTGTTTTCCAAAAATGCGATGTTAGATATCCAAATTTTAAACTTTTTTTGAATCATAAAGTGGCACATGTACTTCCTAGCAAACACAATTGTCAAAGTTTAAAAGTAAAACGCCATAGATTTTATGTCAAGCAATTAAATCTAATCGAAGTTGCGGCACTTCAGGCAATTATCTCAGAAAACTTGACCGCGGTATCACCATATGTGAAAACGGACGTAAACCCCCCCACGAACAAATTAACTAAATATTCAACATAGGTTTTTGACATAATGTAACAAACTTGTTATATGTATACAACAATACGAAATGAAATAAAGATAATACCTACCACCAATAGATAATTGAGCAGGAGCACTAGTTCTTTTAGCAGCAGAGTTTCTAGCAAGGCAGGAATATTGACCAACATCTTTTCTTCTAAATTTCTTGATGATCAGTAAACCTCGGCTGTCCACTTCAAAATTGTTATCGTTGGCGTGGACCTTTCGTCCGTCTTTTAACCATGAAATCTGCAATGACATTTATTAAGATTGGAGGGTTTTTTTTCGGACTCTACGACCTAGCAACAAAGGGCAAACCTATACGATGTTCTCTCGTCTGTATCTCTGAGTGCGGTTTTTCGATACCAAATTGGAACCCAGCGGTGTTGTCCAAACCATTCCATTTCCGATAATGTGCAAGCATACATTTTGATTAGTTGATTAATTGTGGACATTGCCAAATTAAATTTAACGCATTTTTGTCGCCCAGTGAAGTTTGTAAACAGATATAAAATTTGGTTTATATCTGCAGATAGAATGGGCTAGTTACGTTCGTTCTGTGGTAGTTATCTCCCATTAATAACATTTCTACCAGGATGGCGGACCATGATTTTGTTTTTGATACCAGTAACTATAATTTGAATGGTTTCTGGATAGAACTAGATGACTGTAAACTTAATTTTTAGACATATAAAAGTAACTATTTTTACAACGCGAGGGATACGAAGTTATCCTCAAATAATTGTCACTGGATTAAAATTAATTTAGCTTTACTCATGACACGTTGAAATCAATTACCAATTTATCAGGGGTGATTGGGTAGCCTAATTAACTAACGCGTGCGATTGAGATCCAAAAGTCGGTCATTGAGTATTCGATTCCCAGTTTGTATGTGATACGCAGTAGGGTCCCCTGTCCAAACGCATGGGTTTTCTCCGAGTCCTCCGAAATGGACTAGTTTTTGGTGAATGAATATTAAGCCCTCCCTTTGATTTGAAGGAGTCCAGACTTACTGTTGGTGTTGGTTGTCCTGCTGGTGGTGAACACATCAATTCTACTTTACTACCTATTGGTGCAGATTTACTTCTTGGTTCTTCTACAAATTCTTTTTTCAAAACTATGACCCAACAAAGAAAGAAATGGCGTAGTTATTAAAATCTAAATTATAAATTATATGTCTTCCAGGTCAGAAACTAATAACAAATGTCTCGAATCGGCCGTGTGTCCTGGCTGTGGTACAAGCTAATCTTTTGTTCCGTGCCAACAAAAGTACTGGACACATTTTCTTCTCCTGCCATATTCTGCACACAGAGAACTGTCTACTTTACTTCGAGAATAGATCTCTTACCCTAAATAACCGCCATAGCACACTGTTTTGTAATGTGGCATCACTGCGGTTCACATCTGTTTTACACAAAAAGATCTTCCAATTTTATTAAATGGAAGCAGAATATATACTTCTCAAAATGCTCGAAATATACTTAATATTCTCGACTAAAATCGTCGATTTAGGACTTAATATGTCAGTCAACTAGTTTAGGGTCTGTTCGGAAGCGCGTATGTGTAGCATGCTCCTCCCAGAGACCGATAAAAGAAGCCTGTTTGGCATCTTGCATTGTTACCGATCCGGAAGCTGGTGATGGATAAACAAAAACTGAAGTGTTGAGCAAGTGATACCAAAATTTATCGGACATATTTGTCCTAACTGAATTCAATCCAATTTGTTAATTTCACAATCTAATTAAAATACAGATCTATATTTCGTTTCGTTTTTTTATACTTTCGACGACCTGCACTACAGTGTAGTAAAGACGAGTAAAACAAAATTTTGAACTATAAAAACGAAACGAAATAGGATCTTTAGTTTGATCAGATTGTTAATTTCACTGACATATACGAATAATGAACTTTCATAATAAATACGTGACCATAATATGGAACCCAATTACTATTTTAATTTGTTTGATAACTTTGAGAGAACCCCCAATGTATTTCTTTTCACAATAGGCATATCATACATGACAATAGAGATGATAATATATAAAGTTACATGATAATAAGATGAGTTTTGATGAGAGAAAGAGTAATGATGTCATGAATGATCAGCCTCTTGAGGATAACCCTTAAAAACCTGATTAAATTAAAACTAGGTTTAAAACGTCGCTTAATTTAATTGTGTACCATAGTATGTTTTTGTTTTTGTGTCAGTTGCTAAATGCCGCTCAAAGAAGATATGAACTTACATGCTGTACTAATTTGCGTTCGCCTGGTTCTGATGGGTCTTCCTGACGTCACATCTCCTATACATTCACACCAAAAGGGGTTTCTCGTTTCATATCCACGAATATCGGCCTTGGTCACTTCCAAGGTACCTTTAATTATTTCTTTTCCTGAGGGTTGAACACGGCCTACAACTTGTAACTTATTGATGGGGATTTCTTTCGCGCATGAGAATCGAATACTGTCCACATTTTCAGCTTCACAGACAATAGATGCTGGTCTGTTCTTTGTGACGTAATAACTACCTGCTGGTCTCGTAATAAATCTAGGTGATCTCTGGCCCTGGCATGTTGTAAGAAGTATAAGGAATGTTACTGAAAAAGAACGAGATTATGTAATCAAAATTTGAGCAGGATTCGTGTTTTTTGATTCGAGAAAGTACAGGTTCGACTTTTATGGAAAATGTCCACGCTACTATAAATTCAGAACACATTTTGTAACCTGTTGGTGCCAGGAACACAACACCACAGAATAAAATGGGGTTTAACGCCCTACTTTTTTCGTTTTGCACAAGTGTGTTTTGAGGGACACTTTGCCTGGACAGTGGCGTTTCCGCCTACTCTTCGTCGAATTCCAACTGTCATAGGTTCTCTTACGTGTACGCCGACATGTGCACGGGACCTCGATTTTTCACCCCCATCTGAGAGACTAGACGCTATTTCCTGGCAGGGCGTCCGTACGACACTCATGTCATAATGATAGTAATCCCGAGGTTTTTTCTCCACCAACACCAGGATCGAACTCGGGACGTATTGGTTAGTGATGTGGCGACAAATATAACGTCTAAGATTCAAATCTACCCCTGCTAGATGTTTTTAGAATAAAATTTTAAAAATAATTCTTGGGGTGATCAACGAACAAGGTCAGCTGGATGTGGGTTGGATATGGATGATTTGGGTTTTAACTGATGCGGCTACCATCACGTAAGATATTATATTACTTACCTGATAAAGCACAGGTAAGACAGTCGGTGGCTTTCATGCTTGCTGTTCTTGTTTACCACCCAGTTAAAATCAACAGGGGCTCTTTCTTCGTGTATAATGTCCCAAATATCACTCAATTGTCTGAAAAAGAGAGTACAGTTATTTAATGACAAAATATATATATCAGCAACATACTCGGTACTTCATGTTGCATCAGTATTTCATGTAAAGTCCTCCGTTTTTAAGGAGCGTTATTAGTAACTTCCATCAGTATTTCATGTAACGTCATTAGTAATTTCATCAGTATTTCATGTAACGTCATCAGTATTTCATGTAACGTCATCAGTATTTCATGTAACGTCATCAGTATTTATGTAAAGTCATCCGTATTTCAAGGGACGTTATTAGTAACTTCATCAATATTTCATGTAACGTCATCAGTATTTCATTTAACCTCACCAGTATTTCGTGTAACTGTAACTTCATCAGTATTTTAGTATTTCATCAGTATTGCATGTAACCTCATCAGTAGTCCAATGGCGCAATTTGTTTAATCTTAATTTATTGTTTTCACAAAAAGTAAGGACATCCATTTCACAAAAAGTAAGGACATCCATTTCACGTGGAAAGTCGTACCAGAATTAAATTTCTTCTAGCGCTTGAAAATCATCTTCAAACTGGACATTTGATAGAAACCAATATAAAGTTAATTAGCCATGCAGACTCCTCAAAGGGATTTTGTTTTGGGTGTATAAATCCGTTTTTAAAATGCAATTCCCTTGTGTAAAATGGACATCATTTATGAAATATACATGTATAATGACAAATGCCTAATGCTAGGTACCCTCTGTCGTGCGATGCATTACGATAGGGTTGTCCCCATTGAGTCCACGATCTGGTACGTGCAGATACGTTCGGATACGTTTCGATACGATCGCATTATATGATAAGATCTGATAGGAACAACACGATTACTCCTCGATTAAAATCACGATTTCAATCGTTGCACGAATCGTGATAGTAGGAATCGTGTCTTTGAGCAAGGCTTAAGATAGAGCAGTAGGTAGGCTTGTAGGAATTCAATATGTTATTAGGTATGTTTTAAACATCTCTGTGCCAGGTTTAGTACTACGATTACTACGTAGGTAAATATATACCACACCGCACGCACCTAGTTGACGAGGTAACATTCTTCTCACCTACTAATGGGAACTTCGCCAATTTGACTTAAAACATATTGTGCTTTTTCCTCCTCTCAGTCTATATTTATGATATCAATAAATGACCGAGGTGTAAGATTTCATCTCTTTGATGGGGTTGTGATCTTTGTATCTTTATATTGTATCAATTTTCCTCTGATAAATATCTCTATTTGATGTGTGGCCCTGGGTGTTCTCCCTCCCTTAACAAATAACATTTTGTTTTGTTCATGAGAAAACATACACCGATAAGAAGGTCAATGCCTCATTATTCAATGTTTATTTTTTAATAGAAACAGCTTACATTTACAAAGGAATAATTTACTTTGGATTAGGAATGATTTACTTTTTATTAGGAATAGTTTTACTTTTTATTAGAAATGGTTTACTTTTTATTAGGAATTGTCTACTTTTAAATATGAATGGTTAACATTTTGACAAGGCTCACTTTTTAATAGTAATGGTTTACGTGATAATGGGAATGGTTTACTTTAAATAGAAAGAATATAGGGGCGGTTTACTTTAGGAATGGTTTACTTTTTAATAGTTTATTTAACGTCCGGTTCCACCGAAGTGATATAGCAGATACATTTAATGGTAACGGTTTACCTTTAATAGGAAAGCTTAATTCTAAATAGGAACGACTTACTTTGAATATGAAGGGCTTACTTTGAATATAGGAAGCGTTTACTTTTAACCGGAATGGTTTACTTTTAATAAGATTGATAATTAAAACACAAAACGTGTTTCAATATCAGCACTATATTAATTCCTGGGTGAAATACATTAAAGTAGTGATGTACACTATGGACGATATCTTGTTATAAGCGTTACCAATATGACGTAAATCCACCGTTTCACCATGGCATATACATGTAAAGCGATCACTGTATCAATAAACAAGACCCAAAATACAAGTAGAGGATTCTCGACATATATCTATATTACAAAACTATGATCGATTCCCCGGTTGTACGTGACAAGGAGTAGGGTTGCCTGTCCAACCTCGTGGATTTTCTCCGGCTCCTCCGGTTTCCTTCCACAGCGAAAAACCCCTACGCGAAAGCGAATTATGGAAATAAAATTGAACCATATGTTAGTCCCGAAATGACCTAGTTTGTGTCGAGTGGACGTTAAACCCCATTCTCTCTCTCTCTCTCTCTCTCTCTCTCTCTCTCTCTCTCTCTCTCTCTCACACAAAACTATGATCTGGAACATATTCCGTAGTTATACAGGTATAAATAGAAATATAGGTAAACATTATAATGAAATCCTGATCCACGCCCTTTGTAACGTCACGATTATACCAAATCTTGTTTGTTTATACCATTTCACACATTATTTATACACTCCGTCCATGTTGATATATTATACTACCTACTAAAACTAAATATATATATTCACTTAGTAATGTTGAAACCTGTTACAGTTTTATTGCGTGAGAAGCAGAAAACGCCCATCCTTTTCATGGACACCTGGCATAATTTTTTGTTATGTGATGTGGATAATAGTACAGGCACTGAATACCATGAGTTCACAAAGCATTCGAAGGCTTAAGTTAAGAATTTATTAAACTTTCAATCACTGATTATGAGAGATATCTTTGATCCCGAAACACAAAACGTTGCACATAGTTTTTTATTGATGTATTTGATACATTAAAACAAGAACAGTTTTATAAAGGGCTATATTATAGTATATTATAGTTCAAATAAGGCGAACAATTTTGAGTAAATTCTTAATTTAAGTCTGAGAATGCTTTGTGAACTCGAGGCCAGGAGATCCGGGGTTCGGTCCCGGTATTACCCCTTGTCTGTGGTGGTGGCAATGAATCGGGACGTAGAACCGAGGTATTTCATATCCAAAATATCCCTGCAGTTTTAAGCCAGGTGAGTTCACGGGTACAAAAGCGAAACCATCGTCTTATTCTGACAGCCCAAGGTATATCCTACTTGAAGCAATAAATTGACATAAAAAGTAAACAAACAAAAAGCCACCTCAAAGATAGGCAATAAGTTAGTTTTAAAGTTCTCCATTGCGTTCAGGGGACATAAATAAAGCTAGCTGAACGATCACGGATTGTTTTCAACCGGCTGAACGATTGTCATCACAAAATAAACAAAGGTTTCAAACTATCGCCCTGAAAGTTTTGTAATTAATTGATAACTGCCTTTGAAGCATTTTATACTTCTTAATCATTTTCATTATTGCTATTATTAGATACACCATTCTGGAACCACCATTCTGGAACCGCCATTCTATTAAAGCAAATATCTTGAGAACCATGATAAAATGACCTCATACCCCTTTCCTGGCATTTTAAATACATTTATATCCGCCCAATTCTGAAATGATGGGCGGGTATCGACAACTTCACAGAACTTTTTGTTCTTTTGAAAACAATGTTGAAATTCTACCATATTACCATTTTGACATGGGATCGGAATGTAGGAAATTGTACAACTTAAAACAAGTGCACATAAGACATATTGTAAGAAAAAAAACAGGAAACGTAAACTCTATAGTGCACATAACAAATGAGCTTTGTGTTTTAAATGGAAGAAGATAGAGTTGTTATTCCCGACAATAAAATGCAATAGGGTTTAACGTCTTACTTTTCTGCACCGACTGGGCTAATGACGGACAGCAGCGCTACTAACTAGTCATATTTCGAATTTCAGCTGTCAAGGGTTCTTTACGTGCACGTCAACATGTATAGGGGACAGGGTATTTCGTACCATCCGAACAATGCAAACATTGTCCTTCATTTTGCAGCACTAACAAGGGGCGCGGAGCACCACGCTGGGAAATCCCAGGGAACATTCTAGGCCAATACCAGTATCGAATCCAGGACTTCCTGGTTAGTGAGCCAGAGAAATACACACTGACCCAATGTGGCTGCCTATTGCCGACAGTAATTAAATGTTAAAATAAACAATGTAATTTCACAGTGTATTACTATACATATTAAACCATGAAGAATCATACAAACTTTCACAGTTTATTACTATACATATTAAACCATGAAGAGTCATACATACTTTCATAGTGTATTACCATACATATTAAACCATGAAGAGTCATACATACTTTCACAGTGTATTACTATACATATTAAACCATGAAGAATCATACATACTTTCACAGTGTATTACTATACACATATTAAACCACGAAGAATCATATATAATGTATGACACATAATGTTGTTAACACCATAGATATGTTTATTAGTTATTATCAAAGAGTCGGCTGGAACACGCCCGTTCTTAATGTAATACAAATTTCAATACCTGGGGTATGGTAAATATAAACAGAGGCAGAGAAATGGGATATAACGTCCACTCGACACAAACTAGGCTATTTCGGGACTAACATATGGTTCAATTTTTTTTCAATACTTTGCTTGCGTGTAGGGCTCTTTAGCTGTGAGAGGAAACCTGAAGATCTGGAGAAGACCCATATGTTTGGACAACCTACTCTACTCCTTATCACGTACAAGCGGGGAATCGAAACCACGCCACTTGACTCAATGACAGTAATGACTATAAACAATACATATACAAATCGCAGTAGGCGTGTGTTCTAGTCAAATGCGGGTCTACCATGAAACCAATAAAGCTTAACCCTCGTTGTCTCTAATCCGGGAACAGCCCTAGAAGCCACTTTAGCACACATTGCTGAAAATGTCTAGGTCTAGTGGCGGGACGACAAATATACCGTACTATTGCTGGGCATCCTGGTTAGAATCACAACTTCGGAATTAATTTCTTCCATTGAATTGGGAGGGTTGGTATTTGGGGTTGGGTGGGGGAATAGGTTTTTTTTCTTCTGTCATGGAATAACCTCTCTGAAGAAGATAAGGAATAACCTCTCTGAAGAAGATAACAGTGGTTAACCAGACTGCGTTCCTGGTAACAAAGGGTTCCCATAACAGTTCAA